GCTGGACAACATGCAGGACAAATATTGCACAGTTAATATTTAAAGAACTGAAAACATAATTATACTCGCAGGTGACCTTTGTTCATAAAACAGGTTTTATATGACAGGCAAGCCCCTTTGTAAGCTACTTGTAAGCTTGTAATTTAGAAGAAGAAGCGTTTAGGGCTTTTCCCTCTTCAGAGTGGTAAAAAGCTTTTTGCACATGTAAAAGGCCTGCAATGTTTCAAAGCTCAAAGTCAACACCAAGGGGAGTTACTCCGTTTCACACGAAAATCTGCCACTAAACTACTATTTCTTAGTTCAGGCTCGTCCTCGGCGAGGACACATTTTTACACATTTACCTTGTTGTGAATTTGGCACCTTAACAACTCGGTGTGACAGTGGGGTGCCCATTGTGAATTGTGCATTTGCAAGACTGACTTAAATGTTGACTACCGTATAAAAAGTTGAATTTTTTTATCCATCTGACAGTTTATGGAAAGACCGTGAGGCCCACTATATCCTGCAGACACTGGTTTTAGTTGAACTTTTTAGTCAAATTAAATTTTTCCCTCAACATTTACCCCGAGTCTACCCTTGGAGGAATACATTTAAGGCAATATCTAAAAATAAACTTTAGCCTTTTTACATTAAATAATCAAAATGATATCAGCTTTTACCAAATAAATGCACTTGACTAACCCAAATGCATTAAGTAACTGTTAGCCGGAGCCTGGCGCTTTTTCTCTTTAGTTTGACATTCACGTGAAACTGGAAAGAATGGTCAATTAAGATAATTTACATAAGGAGAATATGTTTTGTTTCGCACTGAAGTTAAGAAAGGGGCTTGCAGAAATAAAAAAATCAGTACACAGTATATTTGCAAACAAGCAGATGAATTTTTTCTAGTGTCTAGGACATGGAGCCACAGGGGGAATTTGGATATTCTCTTTTGTCCAAAATTGCTCTGATAAAGTGCACAGTGTTATGAAAGGTCAACATGGTTGGTGTTTTTGTGCAATCAAAATAATCCTAAACCATGGAACGCAGGTTAAAGTAAATTTGCCCAACAAAGTGTTGCTGCAACACACAGATAAATAAGTATGTTACCAACTAAATGGTTTTTTTAACCCGGGGAAACATCAGAGATGAAGATTAGCTCTTTCACCATGATACATAAAAAGGAAGAAAAACACAAAAAGGCCAGATCAAAGTGAAAGCAATCTGCTTTTTCAGATCCTGCCGCAGTCGGAACCCTCCTCCCACTGGGGTCTGCACGCCACGTATCGTCACACACACACACACACCGAAAAAAGGTAAACATCAACCAGACAATGGTCCAGACAGACAGATATTGTCATGTGGCAGTGACACAGAGCCTTGTGTTCAGCATGGGAAGACACAGATGACAATCTTTGGAGAAATTATTGTGATTTATTCACCACAACCTGTGGTGCGTTTATGGTACGCATTAACATGCCCCGAGGCACAAAGCCTGCTTAAAAGAGTTACAACACCTTTTGGAGCCATTTCACATGTGGGGCTGGATCCCAGAACATTTGCATACACGAGGAATGGTAGAATCAATTTGTGCCAGCTGCACTCACCGTCAAAGTTTATATACACCATATTTGAACTATTCACATCCTAGTTGCCTCTTGGCTTTGAGAGCACGTCCAATGAGATTACTGCTCGCAAAGAAGTCAGGGTTTCAGGAGATACACACGGTTACTACGCTGAGCACCCAGTATTTGCAAGATTGTGTTGATGCACTGACACTGAAACTGGGATCAGCTCCCATCACCTGCTCTCAAATTTACAGCTCAAAGAATAATCTTGAACTTTAACACAGTCATTTCTAAGATATTTTAATTTTATGTTTCCGTCTTGTCAGTGCCATTGTATCACAAATAATTATGTGTGGACTTTACTTCTTGACCGGGTGAAAAAAAAGGCTAATCATTCACCAAAGAAGATGGTGCCCGGAGCTTTTTGGCTTTCAGTTCGTGTGGGTCTGCCTAAACTCAGCCCCATTATCCACCAAACACGGGCCAAATCTACATTTTCACACAGGCTTTGAGCCATGGATAGTTCCTCTCACCATTTACTGCAGTCTATGCCAGAACTGGCTTATGTTATGTGTGCCCCATTCTGCCAATGGGACACCTGCCTCCACCCACGTCAGACCTCACTCAGGACTTTTGGGCGCGGTCTGACCCATAACACTTACTAGCACCACGAGAGAGCCTTAAACACCAAATTATATCTTCTCAGGTTAAATCCCAATGGAATGGCAAATTAAATGTTCCATCTCCAAAACGAGGTTGCTCTATATAAAGACAAAAAAAAAACTTCTCGGGATTGAGCTTCATTATGTAGAGCGCCAAACTAAATTGCTGCTCTCTGCAGGAGAAGCCACTCGTAATAATCAGCAGCCATCAGCGTGGATGATATGCACACAGCACAGCTATGCATGTCAGACATGAGAGCTCTAATTGGCTCTGCTTACGAGCTGTGTCTGCCTCAAGAGATACTCTACAGACTTCATTGATACATTCTGCAAGATTAGATAAAGTGTCGTATCTACAGTTGGGTTTCGGTGCTTATAGTGCCACCATGTGGCAATTGATGTTTTTGTGCACAACATGTAAGATGACTTATAGAAATTTAATGACCCGTACAGTTTTAGTTCCTTCAACCTACAACCATTTCCCAGAAGGCCATGCCCTTAGTGAGAAACTATGCAAGCGTTTCTATTGCAAGCACGTTACACAGACACATGCACAGATTATTCCCAAGTAGTAATCTGATGTTCAATTCTCTGCTCCGTGGGTTGTCCCGCCTCAAATGGTTTTAAATGGCTCAGAATCTGCTTGCTCCGGTTTGCTCATATGTATGCTACCTCAATTTTAAATCACAGAGAGGAGTCCAGCCCTTTTTTTCGAGTAGCATTTGTAGTTGTGGTTTAATGATATGGAGATTGCTTTTACCTTTAGAGCTCCAAGTTTTTTCCTTCTTCTCGTGTGTTGTCCACAATGCAGTATGTGGACAACACATACTGCATTGGAGAAGAAGACTGACCTCACTGAAGGATAGCCGACCCATTAAATCTGGTGGGATTTGTGATTGTATAGTATGGCAGGACTAACTGAAAAACAGAGAAAAGTAAAAAGGGCAGGCTTTTTTCCCAAAACTGTGGTGTCAGTGGTGAACATCTGTATGTTGCTCAGATCTTGTCTAGCAAACATTGTGAACATTGTGCTTGTTTTCCTCGGAAAGGCAATGCTAGAGTTCTGCAGTTAACTTAGTTGATTGTACCAAAGCTTCTTTTGAGACAGGCAGGCAGGTTCAATTTCATGGGGGAGATCTTTACAGTTATATCAAGTAATATTGTACTCTTTTTCTTTTTTGTGAGGGGGATTTCAGAAAGTACTCTCACGTGGTGTAATCAAATTTTGTACCTATTTTGAAGATTGGTAAGAAATAATTTTCATCTTCCAATGGTATCAAAACTGATTTTTGACAAAGATAGTAAGGCTGCAGATATAGGCAGCTTCAGCGGTTGACAAATCTCAGTCGTAGACACAGGTTGAGGAGCTCTGTCATTCATCAAAACCCACTGTATTGAATGAAGTCAGCTGAAGCTGAGGGGATACGGTCTGGATGACTGCTGACTCCCACTATTTCAGCCGCTGGAGGGTTTATATAAGCACCTGGAGCAGCTAGAGACTGTCACTGGGGAGAGGATTCTCAAGGTCTCTCTTTTGGATCCTTAGATCGATAGCTGGGTGGCGACATCCTTAAATATAGCACGTAGCTGCATGTAAAAAAAAAAGTTTTTCTTATACTGGTGACAATTTGCTCTTCTGTGACCTCATTCTGAAAATTTGCAAGCTTAGCACCCTTTAAAAATTCCTCAGTTTTTAAGCTGCTGCTTACAACTGAGGCCAAATACTAATTGGATGAGATGGCACACCACCGCAAACAAACAAAAGTAGCTTTAAAGATAGCATCATCTATTAAAGAAGAAAGTTCCATTTGCCTTTGGTATCTCTTTAGATTTAAAAGACTGCTCATGTGAACACACAGCACCATTCCTTTGAGCTACTTGGTTTTACGGTCACTGTCCCATTTCAATCACAACCAGCAAAAACCTCTTCAGAGAAAGTAGGAAGAGGTAGAATAGTAGGAAAGCAAATGTTGGCATGCTGCATGGAGCCATGGCCCTGTTATTTTGATCTGTCCATCACTTGTCAGCAACAGTCAAGTATGTAGGACAACAAACGCCCGGTGCTGACAAAACAATAGCACAACTTTGACTTGTGTTCATGCTTGAAATTGTAGCGTAAAAAGAGGTCATTTGAAGCCATTTGGTCCTCTCTTTGGTGTAGTATAGCTTTTTGTTCATGGGAAAGGTCAACAGAGTTACAAGACATAAAGCGCCCATCAAAGGGGATCTTTATTTCTATCAGAAATAACTGTTTTGTTGCACCTTTAGCTCATCATGGTGTCTTGAGACACGGAGAATAAAAAGGCTGGTCACTAATGATTTAAAAGTGGAACAATTTAAATAATTTCTTAGTACGCTCCTCTTTAAGCTGTCTCTGTCGGATTTTTGTGCCGGCCAATAAGTCACCAACTCCAGAGCTGAGTCTTGGATAAATGTTGCTTTAATAACACGGAATTATTTGCAGTATTAAATAGCGATCCACACAAAACACTTGCCTTTACACGGTAGAATGAACTTAATAAATATTTTGCCTCTATAAATATAAAACGTGATCTACAATAGAAATCAAGCCTGTTTTTACAAAAGCATTTCTCCTTCATTAAAGCTGCTGCACTTTATTAGCTCTGCTGTCTGCTAGATCTGATATTTTGGAATACAATTTCTACAACATTAAACATAAAGACGTGCCATCCTTATCAAAACGAGTAAGCCTGGGATCCAAGCTAATACTGGTACATAATATGAAGCGTTTGCTCATTGGCACTTTCTCCTCAATGCTTTTTGGTGGTAGTTCTTTCTCTCTCTGGTCTGTTCACTTGTAAAATAAATGTGGATGGTATGTTGGTATCTTAGATATCTTGTATCTTCATGATTTAAAAAAAAGAAGAATCAGCCTTCTTTATATTCAGGACATGCCAAAGCATTCAGTATCAAATTGCTTCTGTTAGCGCGTCACGATGAGGCAGAGCTGTCTTTGTCCTCCACGGTAACGCTGCTCACGCCATGAACCTGTGTGAGCTGCTTGCAGTCCAATGAAGCCAGCAATTTCCTCTGTCCTGCGAGGGTGGGGACGAAGTACTCTTTGAGAGTGACGGAGGCATGACTACCGATATCTCTGAGGGGGAAAACAGGAAATAATAGCAGTAATCAGAAAAAGAAAATGATGTACTCGATACTAGTACAAAAAAATATATCAAATTTGCACCAATATGAAGCGTATTTTCAGCCTTACCCGTAATCAATTTTCCGAGCAGGTAGAAGGCCTAGTCCTTCTAAGTGGAATATCACTGCTTTCAGCACCTGCGGTAGTGGATTAGTAAAGGAAATCTGCACCTCCGTCCTCTCTCCCACCGTGGCTTTTCCAATCGGCTGTGTGGTAACATAACAGTGGAGCGGTAAAGATTAGATCTAGATTGATATCTCCAGCATGGCAGTATTTTCCTGATGGGCTGTGTTGGTTACCTTTACGATGAGGTCTGGTGTCCTGAGTCTGAAACTGAACTGAGTGGCCAGAACCTGCTGTGTTTCTTTGACCCTCCCTGACAGCGTAAGCATCAGGGCGGCCTGATCTATCAGCTGGCTCTTGTACACATTATACTCCAGGGTCCACTCCAGCAACCTCTCTGTAATCACACAGGTAAGCAGAGAAATGTGTTTAAAAGAACGGATTAGAAGACGAGTGTGTGAGGTGTTAGACCCATTCCAAAGCCAATCTCCGTGTTTACTGGTGCTTATCCACCTAGTTGGTGGGTTTGCTACAGAGTAGCTGGTAAAAAAGATTTCCTCGATCAAATAATCATTTTATGGTCTCTGAATTAGTGCATTGAGCATCTGCTTCTTTTTTCTTTAAAGAACTACAGAACAATTTCAAATTATACTGAGATCAATGAGTAATCTATGAAATAAAAAGTGCAGTGGAGCTGAAAAGATAAAACTACCTGGAAGCTTTTTATAAGTTTTGTCCAATTAATGCACTCAATAACTGAATATGATCCTAGCTCCCTTGTTTCTCTTGATAGAAGTAGTCAGTGATATAGAGGAGCACATGGCTGCTAATTTGTTGGGTCTTCCTTTCTCAAACAATCAAAGCGGATGGATTAAAACATGAAAGCAAACGAACATCTGAGCCGAAGTTGGTGAAAAATCAAGGAAAAATATTTCCAGCAACATCATGACTAGCTAAGGAAAATGGGCTTGGCTTAGCCTTTCTACAGGCTTTCTTTACCATCAGTTGCAAAGTCAAAGCTGAATTGAGAGCCATGTCAGCAAGTCTAACTCTCCTCCCATCTGTCTTGTACCATTGGTTATAGTTTATTTGGAGAAATTTCGCCTATTCATTTTCAAATTTTCTGTTTGTATGGCATTTCTGCTTCTCGTCTACATAGCTGTTTACCTTTTAAACCAGGCACGACATTCACTCAACGCGTGAACCCGCCATCAGTCCTTTGTTTTCACTCGCGGTGACTGGTCGGCGCTAATTTTGTGCATGCATTTAGCAAATTTATGGATGAGTTACCTTTAATTATGCTGATTAGTGTGTTTGGTTGTTGTGCAACAACCAAACACGCAAATATGACAAGTCTTTTGTCAGAATTTGGCACCTGAACGTGTGTGTGTGATTATTCACTCATTAACAGGTTCCTGCCTTTATGTGTTAGTCGATTGTTCATTTCGTCCTTTTTCATTCCGGCAACAATCTTTGGGATTCACTGATGGCCATGGCTGGACTGTCCACTCACCCTCATTGGGCAGGATTTCCACATCCGTCTCGTCTTTTTTTACTGTGGCTTTGTGAACTCCGGTGTAGTACATGACTGCCAGCTGGCTATGCAGGCTGACATTACGCTGCTTGTTGCTGCCGTTTTTCAGCTTGATGGTCAGCTCCGCATCTCGTCCCATTTTGGGGCCTTCCCCATCCATGATCACCTCCATGGACACATCCTCAGCCGTGGGGGACGAATAGGCCTCTGCTTTGGAGCCGTAGCTACAGGCTGTTTCCACAGCGATGCGTTCCTGTTCTGAACCTTAAAATGGATTGTTGCACTGATTTAATAAACAATACTGCTTAATACCCCAGCGGGTCAATGTGTTTCTGACAAGAGCTCTTCAAGTTTCCAGTTATTGATCCTCTGCTCTTTGATTTTACCTTCAGGATGTTTATAGAGGTGTGTGATGTCGCTGCGCTCCTCTGAGCCAACTGCCTTGGTGCTGATGGAGTGGCCCACGATCTTCTTTTCACTGTAGATTTGACTGAAGGTACCATCTACTTTCTTCTGCCAGTATATTTTATCACTGTTAACCTATGCAAAAGGGAAACCGACACATTTTAACTCCCATAATTGGAAAACTCCAATTGGAATGAATCTTTTTAATGGAAAAAAAAGACAATCCACTAACCTCAGCAAACACAAAGGGGCAGTCATATTTGAGGTAGACCTGACCGTTGCGCACGGCAGAGACAGGAGCAGGGCCGCAGCGGTAGGTGCCCTGGCTGGTCTCCTGCGGTGTGGCATCAACAGCCTGCCAACCTCCATTACCAGGAGGCAAGTCGGGACGAGCCATCCAGCTGTCGTTCCACACGTGGAAGTTCCTTTAGGAATCAACAGGGTCACTAAGACTGAAGAGCTGCAGGGGTTGCGAGGAGTTAGACTATCTTAGGCATTTAAGACGTACCAGATAGAGTCCGCATTGAGGTACTCTATGGGCTCCAGGTTCTCATCAAAGTACACATCTGTCGTCAAGGAGATGTCTGTGTCGTGAGCTGAGCTGAAGTTGGTCACAGTTCGAGTGGGAATACCCAGACACCGCAAAACTGAGGCAAGAGGGACAACAAACCAGTGTTGATATGTGGAACTGACATTATAAATGCATGTGATACACCAAAGAAATATGGGTAAAGGAATTAATAAAACCAACCAACCTGTTGTGACAACTCCTGCAAAAACCCAACACTGGCCGTACTTAACAGGAGTGCCGTTCTTCTTGTAGTACTCTTGCAGGATTTCCACACTTCCACTCCAAACAGTTGGAGAAGTTCCCAGTGAATAGTTCCCCGACCAGTTTCCTTCCAGGACACCGAGGTCATCAGGAGAGTTGATCTGGAAAAATGAGGAAAGTCATTTCTAGATGTGAATATAAAGCCGTAATGCTTTGATGATTGCATTGTCCTCCTGGTTAAAAAGAAGAAGTACTTTTTAGCCCATTGTGAGTTTACAGCTACAACAAAATCACCAAAAGTTAGAATTCGGCAGTGTACAAATTTATTTTGAAAGGCATTGCTGGTATTAAATTCAACATTACTTTCTTAAAGTATAACGAGCTCATAACTTTATGAAGATAGATATTAAGGACGGTGGACAGGAATATTCTCACCATGGCCGAGATGATTCGAACCAGATTAACTGGGTCTCCCAAACCAGAGTTCGGAGTTCCGCTTTTTTGAAGGATAAAGATGCAAGCAGCGAGAATGTCCTTATCAAACTGAATGACGGAGAGAGGCAAAGGGACAAGATGGTTGAAGAGCCAAAACAGTTTGTGCAGCTCTGTTCACCAAACACAGTGAGCAGTAGAAGCGTTCACTCACCTGGCCATAGTTCCATGTCCTAACTCCAATTTGGTGTTCTGTGCCATAGTAGATCCGTCCAACGTCATTAAGGATATACTCCCTCCTCTCGTCTTCAGAATCCAGGAACACTGAGTCATCTGACAGACCAAGTGAAGAACAAGATTAAATCCCTTCACTTAAACATGGCTGCTCTGTCAAAAATAACTCGGAAATATTTCTTCTATTTCTTCTAGGTTTTGTTTAGTTTTTTTTTTCAATGTACATTTTGCACTTTCCAATGCATCTTTTTCTCATAGAGACCTTTTTATAATCTGTCAAGCTGACATCAATGATGCCTATTTGGAAAAAAAATTCTCACCCATTGTTCAAGAAACAATGATGAAAGGCGTTATGCTCTTGAGGTGACAAGCATAAGGTGAGAGTTTTGTGACATGTTGTGTCTTTTATGTTATAAGCTGCGATGAAAAATGCATGTTTGAAGGTTTCCTTTTTAATCTTTTCATGGGGAAAGGTGAAACACATTAAGTGTACAGACACGTAATGTCTGTACTAGGTTAATCAGTGACTTAATGGCTCCTGGGATTTACTTTATTTCTTTGGACATGTTGCTTAATTTTTTATTGTCCCTGTTTTGATAATCTACAACAGTGTGCTACCTTCCAATCCCATAAAAGAAAATGTGATGAAAATTCTAAGAGCGTAGAAAAACATTTGGGGATTATTTTCTTGCAGGCACTTTCAACTTAATTTCATTTGTTGACAGGCCTGAAGAAATGTGTGGCACCTTCGCTGTGTATCAATATGATGTGTGAAACTACAGAACCAAAACGGCGGAGCAAAGTGGATCTGTCAGTGATGACTTTCGGTCACCATGTCACAGAAATGAAGCAAGCCATATCTGCAAGGGAGAGCTGGAATGTGTAAACACGCTGATGCGGTACCGAAGTTCCAATCTTTGTGTGAACTGAGAAACATTTTACATGCCAAAAAAGGACAACTAATATTTTTAGACATCATCCAAAATAAAAAAAACTGCACATTTTGCTATGTGTCCTGGTATGTCTCGGAGGGCTAAAAATTAAATCAATGTATGATCAAATAAGATATGAAGTTGATGAAAAAAACATCCACTGTTGTAGGTTTAGCAATGAAATAAAAGTCACTCTTTTCCCGGCATTTTTCTCATTATCCATATTTTTTACCCACTAATCCCTAATAAGCCGTACGCTTATTCAGTCTTTGAATTGTGCAGTAATGAAATTGTTTTATCTTGCAATGAAACTAATATGCATACAGAGACAGAAAATGTCTAGAAAATGTTCTTTTTATCTCCATTCATGAGTGGCAGGCTAATAAAAACACCTGATTAATCAACTGTCACACTGTCACAGCAACATAGATTGATTGTTGTAAAATGAATAATCTTATTAAAATCCATGATTCAAGTCATTTTCATTACAAGCATTTTGAATTATACCTATCGCATTTTAACTAAAAGACTTTCCATCAAAATGGATGTATATCAACGCATAAGAAACAAAAAACAAACAGGAAAAGCTGTCAGTTCATACAGTCAGTGAGAGCATTTGCATTGAATGTATGGGTCACTGCTGTTTTTCCAACATTTTATACAAAACCCCCACTTTTTTCTCCCGTTAAGCCCTAAGCGTATTCAGTCTTCAAATAATTAAGTACTGTGTTCTTTCATCCTGCACTGAATCCTAAAAAACATAAACACAGACAGTCTTGGAAATGGTCTTTTCACATTCATACATTGGCTGACAGGCCAATTTGAGCAATTTAACAATCACTCTCACAGCAACAGAAGCAGCTTCTTGTAAAACACTTAGTTCCTTTTTTTTGTTTTTAAACACTGGAAAGCATTTTCAATTGTACCTTGTTAGAAACTTCAAATGGGGATTTATGTCCATTTAAGATGTGGAATGCAAAGAAATTTATTCCAAGTATTTAATTTGACAGTTTTTTTAATTAAAAAAAGATAATATGAAACTAATTTAAAAAACACTATTGAGGTTGATGTCTGCAATGAATGAAAATGTTTGTTATTAACACACTCTCAGTAGTTTACCTTCACACCATGGGTTGAACAACATGTAGATGTCGTTGTTGGGGTCGTGGGTGGAAATTGCTTGGCCATTTGCACAACTTGTTTCCACCGTCAGCTGATATCTGCCAATGACGGCTGTTGGTGGCGAGTTCACGGACAACTTCATCCTTTTGCCGTCTTGTTCCGTGACTGCAGCCTCCCAGCGACCGTCCTCCAAATTCTCCACCAGAGGGATGATCACATGGGTTCCCTTTGACACTGCTGGCAGCAGGCCTATGGTGAGAGAAGACACACATCATGCACACATAGAAATAATAAAAAAAAAGTAGATGAAAGCTCTCAGAGGCTGTCCGTGACATGCCCCAACAGAAAGGAACCATTTGGTTCAGTTATTGTGCTTTTTCCACTCTAATTAAAGCCACACCTGCATTCCCAGTATGCTTGAATGAATAGAAAATAAAATAAAAAACAAACAGAAAGATTACTGAATGTGCTTTAGGAACAAGGTGTGTATACACACACACCCACATGCACACGCCTTGTGTGATGGCTTTTAATCCCAATGCACCTATATTAATGATATGCACCAAAGCAGTAGTTTGAAGTTAACTGTGAGTGTCACTGCTGTCATGAGCACCAGTGATGACTAAAGGAGTTTCTGGGCTTTGGTGGCATGAATAGAATACAGTTCTACTTTCATGAGAACAAAAGACACTATATATTATGATCAATCAACTTTTCTTTTAACCGTACAACTGTCATCAAATTTCCTCCCTGCCCTCTTCCCGAATCGTGGAAAACAAAAGCCCTCAATGATTCTCCTTTCCTGTATGAATGTCACCTTGCAAAAACCTTAAAAAAACTAATTCCCTACTTTTCAGTTACAGAAAGAAAAGTTTATTCTTATCTGATTCAGTCAGGGACCGACAGGCCCCTGATTGGCCGTGACAATACCACTTGCAAAGAAATGAATAAAACAAATGAAACAGTCATTTTGATCACAAACCCAGCGGCCCACTAGATTACGGAAAACAAGTGAGAAACAAAAAGAAAAAAAAACAGCGGGGAGACAAGAAAGCTGCAGAATGAACCACCAGCTGTAAGTGAAGAAGCAGCTGTGCACCTCTGGCAAAGGGATTAAAGACAGGCTTTCATTAAAGAGGCAAGTGACCCTAAACTAACTGTTCAGATGCCATGAGCATGTACAGAATCTTAGTAAGGCCAGACTCCCTAAAATGCTGCTACAAACGCCTAAAATCTATTCATCATCATGTAAAAATACTCAAACTTTGGTCCAGCACTCTTATATAACACTTTGTTCCAAAGTGACCTACAAGTAGGGAGAAAAAATCATTTGATACTTCGATGTGGTTCGGCCTGTAACTGCTCAATCTGTGTTAATCCATCTTTTTAACAGGGTTGAAGAAGGATATGTAGAATAGAAAATAAGGGAATTTTAAGCATATAAGGCTGTTTGCATTGTTAGATATGAGGAATTCCCAGCAGTCTTCAAAAGATTCTCAACAGCAAAGAAAGACACAGAGTTTGGTAGCTTCTGAGGGCATTGGTAAAAATGACATGGACTAAGAGTCAAATATATATATATTGTAAATCACCAGCCTGCCAAAAGCAGAACTTGACATTGTAAAACTAAGGTTTTTGCCCACATGAGAGAAACAATCCATAACAAGATAATTAGGGAATTCCAGGGGACGATGTTGTTTTCCCCCCTTTGCATCCAAGCTTTCCTCCCTTTTCAAGATACTCTTCTAAAATACTGTAACTAAGCAGCTGCCGGCTAAGGTCTCATGTCTAACTCCACGAGGAAACAAACAAACAGTTGTTCCTTCGAAACTCGTTGAGCTGTCCTCACACACAGCCCAAATGCCTTTTCATATTGTGTCTTTCTAATGAGCACATTGTCATAAGAATCAATAAATCCAGTGCATTCATGCCCAAAGGCTGGACCAGCAATAAGTGTGTAGTTTAGTCTGCCCGGTAATGTCCCCCTGTCAGATATGAAGTGGAATTTGAAGCCCTTTAAAGCAATAAACCAGCGAGCAGCACATTGCAAAAAGTCAGAGAAGTCAGCCATCGCTGCGTCTCACCAGTTTTTTTACAAACAACAAACCAAAAATTGTGTTGTTTTGAGATATCAGGATTTCAGACGTTCATGTGTACTGGAGGTGCGCTGAAAAATTCCAGCAGAAAACGTGCCTAAGCAATACAGTAATAGGGTTTCGAAAGCAAGTAAACTGGCATTATCTCCATTTTCCCGGCATTGTGTTCTGTTGCTAATTGCGTATGTGACAGGTGCTTTAAAATGACTGGATGATTAGCCGTAATCAGTGTTGCTATTTTCTTTATTACCTCAGGTTGTAAACCCTGTTGGATGAGGTTTTTTTTTTTTCCCTGAAGTGAACAATGAAGAATATTTCTTTAAATACATAACACATTACTTTGGTCATTTGGTCATTCTTCAAGCAAATCTGGTCAATTGGAACTCTGCAGATAAGATAGAATTTTCTCTCCTTGTACGTACGCACAACCCTCCAGTAAAAGACACTGTAATTACACCGGCATTGAGCGTCATTTGTTATCATGCACAGCTGTAATTGAAGGATCTAAATGAGTCGGTGTCCTCCCCGTCTTACAGCAGTCGGCTCAGTGTGTGTGTGTGAACGTGGGGGGGGGGGGGGGGGGGTATGAACGGCACGAACACATAAACAGGTGGGGGTTGAGGCTGAGACAACCAGACTTAAGAACTGTATCTTTAAAAGTTCCTCTCACAAGCATAGCAACTGAGCTGTTACCATAGCGATGGCAACCAAAAAATCCAGCCTTTGCCTCAGCCCTCTTTCTTTCCAATGTAAATGTAGCGTCTCTCACACATATAATGTGCTTCACATACTTATGAAAATCATGATAATTATGTCAGAAGACTGACCCCTGTGTATTTTTAACACAAACCGCACGGAGATAAAAACGGATGGTGTTTCCCTCATGTCGTCTCAATCAGCCCCATTCAACAAGAATGTTCTACTTGGGGAGAAACCAACATAATAATGAGGTATTTTGACAGATCACACAAAGTTGAACCTCAAATTTAGTATGAATCTTTAAATAATCAGGTCATTAAGTATTCTATCTTGCCATTAATCTCAAAGTAACACTTTAACTGCCACAATTACAGAAAGTTTTCTGCCAGGTTAATTTGTTTCTCACATCAACAAAAGTTATTAGTGGTCAAACTAATTTTGTTTTCATCCAGTTATTGCAGAAATGCATTTTAAACTGAACCTGATCCTAAAACCCTACACGTGGTTCGGGCAATCTTATGTTCTTCGGGCTATAAGGAAATGCAATCATGTGTATTATTTAATTCTTTAGCCTCTTTAAATCCAGATATATTGCAGATGAAAAAATATGATTTATTTTAGCAAAATAAGGGCACAAAGCACAGTTACACACTGCACCAAATACAAATTGGTGTGCTCCTAGATGAGAGATGCATCATGGTGTCTCAGCCATTTCTTACTGGATCTGACAGTAATGCAGTCGGGGCATTTGTTTCTCTGAATTAATATGTAATTGCTAACTACATTTGCACTCTCTTTGATTAGACATTATGTTAATTTATTATTTTGAGTCTTTAATAAATAAAGTGGAAAATGTACACGTGGTTGAGGTCAATTGCATAAAATATTTGACAAGAGCGTGAAACTCTTCATTTGTGTTTGTGCACTGGGCTCCGTCTCACTAACCCGTTTTTAGGTCGAGATGAAGCTCATCTGTGCTGGGGTCCAAAGGTCGAGACAGGGTTATCCACATCTGGAAATTCTGCCCTCTGCGGATGATGAGGCTGTCACTCTGGTAGAGATCTGTGTGGTGTTCCCTCCGGTTCACCCCAGACTTGCTTTTCATCAGGTCTATTGATTTGACTTTCAAAAGCAGAGCTGTGAAAACAAAGACGGGGGAGACCGAGGTCCATTTATGCCACTGTTTTTTCGTTTGGCTTTTTTTTCTAATAAAGAGCGTGTGTCAGTTCTAATTACCATCAAGTTCACTTTCACCAGTTGCTGGCTTTTCACCCTCCGTCCCGTCATCCTTATCTGGATCGTCCACCCCTGTGACGACGGTGTCTGTGATGTCATCGTCGTTGGGTGGGGTGAAACAGCACGGGCACGCCTTGCGCAGCCACCGCCGACACCCGTTCTCTTCTTTCACGTCATTCTCCTTTCCTTCCTCCTCATTTTCTTCCACCGAGTCCTCGCCAAATCCAAGCGTGACAGTTGGAAACCGACCCAAGGCAGATCTGTCTCTTATCGACCGTCTCTCTACAGGCATCCTGGGAGGAAACAAACACAGTGTGCAAATCCATGGATTTGTCATTAGTGGCTTCCCAAAGAATTACAACCTCGATCTGCTGAGTGAAAACTTTGGCTCATTTGCCTCCTGAAAACACGTCTACGAGCTGTCACAAATGATCAGACTGAAGTAGTGGCATCCCAATCCCCTGCTCAGTTCGTTGATAGAGGGAGGAAATTGGCCTTCCTTCACTGGTACAGCTGAGTTTTGCAGAGTTTTTAATCCCTCTAATCAGAACACAATCTCATGATGTGGGATGACAGCCTCATTACAGATGGCTGCCATGCAAAATGCTCTAATGCAAAGTGAGAAATTGCTATTAGAGACACACATACGATGTCACCATATCTTCAGCAATATGTCAGAATGAATATTACCAATTTAGCAAATCAGTAGTCTTCAGCAAGAATTGTGATCTTTTATGAAGGTGCATGCTTAAAGTTAAAAGAGGGAGGGAGGGATGTCAGGTGTCATGTTTGGATCCTGTTTACTAATTTTCATACATCTTCTTTCTTTAAGTACAGTTTATTGTTGGTAAGGACGAGGTAGCAAAAACGAACTACGGTACTTGCATGTTTGAGTTTTTCTTCTACAAATTGTCGGTTCCTGTAAACAGATACCTGAGTTTTTTGGGGGGGGATCATATTTGTATATGCCTTTGATTAAAAAACTCATGGCTGTGTTGTTTTGCGGACAGAACAGCCATGTATATTTTTACTTTCCACGTCAGAAAGTAAAAAGGGGCCGCTTTCGCCTTGGTTCGACCTGACTTAAAAATGGAAAATGTCAATATCGTGCAAATTCTCACTTTGTTAACACTTTCTTTACTTGTTCACTCATCTGGAAATTCTGCTACTTTACACATACATGCACAAACACTTAGTTACCGATAAAAGGGGGCGGTCTGAATGTGATACAAAGTCATTACAATCTGAGTGGACTGCTAACTGGTGAAAATATGTGCAATTGAAGTGTTTTCTCTGTTCCCTTTGGATGAAGCAATTCAATTACAGATTGAAACAAACTCAGCTCTGATTACACTGTCTGTTAAAACGGTCTTTAAAAGAATTGAAAGACCACGGATACCAGTGAACATTCAGTACTGATTAATTGTGTTTTATATTTTGGCACATCATTATAATTCTTGTATATAATTTTGAATGCTGAGTTTTCACTGAGTTTTTATCTACCCACTACCTATGTTTTGATTGACTGGAGGGGACCAACCACTCATTCAACAAAGCTCTATCTTCAGCTTGTATTTAAATCTCTGTGATGGCATGACAGATGTTAATTCGTCCATTAACTTTAACTTGAGCCTCATCTCATAAAAAATTGTGAAACAAGAAAATTGACATGACTAAGACGATGTAGTTTCATAACTCCAAGATGAAAAAAATGGTGAGATTACAATCTTGTTAAGGTCAGAGGTTGTGTTGCGTGATGAGTATTAAACAGTAATGTACAAGTTCACAATTCCAACCCTGTATTTATTCCTCTTATTCCAGGTTGTGTACTTTCTGCTCCTGACCCTTACTATTAGCAACTGTGTGAGATGTTTAAAAAAGTAAGTAAATATGGAAGAACAGCTGTGAAAAAAGGTTGTGAAGGAAAGGATTTAAGCCAGTAAATTGCCACATACACTTCACCCTTCATGTGATATGACTGACCTAGCAAAGAGCAAGAGTTGTTAACATCTGCATTAACCTCACTGCAGTGCGACAGGAATGGAAATGTCATTGGTCGTGCAAAGAAAGCCGTACTCTGTCAGCGGACTGATGAAGGAAAGTGATGTTTCTGTGCTCTGAGCATTATTTGTGAAATAACTACATCATTTTGGGTGGACACACCTTATACATTTTACAGTGAGCCATGAGATCTTATTGTAAGCAAAACATTTGATTTGATTGAGCAACATGGCATGTTGCTCCTTTAAAGATTACATATGATTATTGGACTTGGATTTTTTTTTAACAATCTCGTACTTTATTTCTTTAAATTGTTTCCTGAGTTGGACATATGAGTTGCTGGCTATTTAAATAAATGCCTTCCTGTACAGCTCTGCTTTCGTCGGCTAATATTACACCCGATCTTTTCCTCCGGTCATTACTGCAACATGCTCAAAAGTTTCCCCGTGACCCCTTGATACAGTGAAACGGTTTAGATATAACCCTACACCTCCGCTCAATTTAGTATGCGCAGATCTATGAATATGCAAATTTGCTCATGTCTCCATCTCCACCGTTCCCCCGGCGGCTCAACTTTGACTCTGCTCAAAAACTGTGGAGCTTCTGTGAGCTTCACATGGCGAAGCACAACGCTTAGAGATAGACCCGCTCAGGCTCAAACCCATGTCACAGAAGAGAAGGAAAGTCCATTGAAATGGACCCCCAAACGGCAAGTTTTTTTCCAGATCATTAGGTTTCCTACGTTTTTCTTTTTTGCATGTTTCCCATCATTGTCACAAATCAGTGACATAAAGCATGAGTCTTCAATTACAAAACTAATGATGAAACGCATTAATGTGGGGAGGACCTTGTTGGTATAGGCCAGCTCTGACAAATCCCGCCATTTAGACAGGACCAGCTCCTTATCAAGTAGGCCATTGGAGCATTTTCTGCATAATGTCTGAGACTAGACTCTGAGACTTCTATATGAATATTAAAAGTGGACATTTCTCAGCAGAGAGAATTTCTATTATAACCCTTATCATTTTAACACATTTCGACATGATTATATTATTACACCTCAGCAGAATTTCACATGCTGCTTGGGGACTGATGAAAAGTGATTAACATGTGTGAACCCTGCGCCGTACTTAGAATCTGATCTTAAGAATCTGATCTTAATCTGGTTCCCCATCCCAGCCATATATTTCTAAACCATACCACATCTGTTGAGGACAGTGACGCAATTATTGATTCAGTTAAGCTTATGCACTGAGCCATTACTGCAATCACTGGCTATTCCAACAATTTACTGCTTTCTAGAATTACAATTGATATTACAATTCCAAGCTGTTGTCAATCCCTGAAATGAAGCTTCTCATACAGATACAGTCTAAACTGAATTTAAAATTTGAAGCTGTAAAGTGCTTTAACAGAGCCAGATTTACCACAAAAAAGCTTTGTTTTTTAAGAGAAAATGAAATATAAAAACTAAGCAACTATTTTGGATAGCTTGTGGGCTCCACTAATATTGATATATTCATGCGGAATGTGATTCATGAGGGACTTCTGATAAAGCATCCGGAGAGTTTTCTGGGGAGTAGAGTGTGGATCACAAATAAAACAAGTGAAATTCTGCTGGTCTAATCCTACCGCTCCCTTTCGTGACATACTCTCGAGTAGAATTCCACAAAAACACACTCTCTGAATGTTCCTCTGTCATAACGTGCCCACCAAGCAGGTTTCGATTAAGCAATAGTGCAACTGTTGGTGACTTCACTGCTAATTCATTTGCCAATGAAACTCCTAAAGAAAACAAAAACTGCTGGCAAGATGCCACGGTCGGTCAGAGGACGGCTCCTCCCAGTTCAGCATCGCACTGCTCTGCTGAAAGACAAGTCGCAGGACGGCTTTAAGTAACAACAAATAAAACCAGACTCCATAGCAACATTAGTAACAACTACTGTATATGACTAGGATCACACTTCCTCATGTCTGGACACAAAGGGAGCAGAAAAGCAGACGCAGTAGATAAACTAGGGAATGTATGGAGTTCACTTTCAGTTACATTTAACAAATCCAGACACGATTCTGTTTCTTTTTACAGTCGTGCAATGCACATCTATTTGCTTTGTTCATCTGGGCCTCCCTCATCAGCTTTTCCCTCGACCAATGAAAACGTAAAACGGGCTTAAATCTGCTTGAGACTTAAACTTCTTTGCTTCAAATAAAGAGTTAAAAGAAAAAAATGTTTCAACATGAAACATGTACAGAATGTTACCTTTTCTTTTTTTTTTAATCTAAGACAGATAATGCATGTATACATATAGTGATCAGAGATAGAGAGTAAATTATACATTGATACCAAATTGCTGTATTTTCATTGCTATTTGAGAAAGATAAAGCAAATGTGAAGCAGTGGGTCTCTGGAGGGCTTGAATAACTCAAACTCTCGAGCGATTGCTGCCTTAAACTTCCACAGCATTAAACCAGCTTTTTTTCCCCTTGACACTACACTTTGAATTGTTAAAATGAAAAATGTAGAGAAAAAAAAGGGGAGCTACATCCAAGAAAATGTAGCAACAGAAAACTTACTCGGATTTGGGGAACGGTGATTTGAGAATTGTAAATTGATTGGACAGAAGGAACTGCCGAGGAAGAGACGCGTTTTTTGGGATGAATTGAATGACCAGTTGGGAATGAAAAAATATATATAGTCACATAGGAGAAACTATGTCTACCAAAAATAACTTTTACAGGTAATCCTCCCCCCCCTGTCAAATCACTGGATGGGTCTAAACAAACAGTCTCTGGGGAAATGGTTCCACTGAAAAACAAAATTTGTGCACTTTGCATGTCAAAGATGTGCTGGCAGCCACCTTGACAAAGTGGCGGAACAGTAAGCTGCCTGTCACTGTGTAGGGGGGCAGCCTCAGGAGAGCTGTTTGAAATTGTCTGGGAAAGAGAAGAGACATACGTATAATGTGCCTACAGTAACACTGTTACTGTGTCACACACTGTGTCACACAAGGAAATGACCCCTCCCTGCAGTCCCTTCATGTCTTGGACCTTACTCATGCAGATAGCTGGATTTAGCACAGGTTGTATCACCCCGGGCGAGATAGATGCATAAGTCACATGTGCACACAACCGTCTTGAATCCTCTTCTTCCAACACACAAACTGGTAATTATAAAAAAGGAATGTGTGCTGAGAAAGCATGCACACCTTCCATTCATCAGAGCTGCATACCAGGGGTTTTACCTGGACTGAGACCTGACTTACAGGAAAAAGTCATTAGAAAACGGCAACAGAATTTAAAATGAGAAATTATGGAAATGATTAATGAAGGCACAATTATTGACATTAGTTTAGCATCAGTTAACAAGTATGAATGTACCATCTTGCTCTGTAATCACAGAGTTCATTGCTTCGGTTCTGGGTTTTTTCCCCTTTCAACAGTCTTTTAAAACGATTCCAAAAATTAGTATCGGCTTTCAGTAAACTTCTTACAGTGTTTTCCATAATACTTATTACAGCTTAGCAAAGGTAAAGCTGAGCGTTATGAAAGTGTCATTAGGTTTACAGATATCTGTTAAAAGCAGAAGTAGCTAAAACTAATCATGTCTAATTAGACTCACATGTAAAGTTTACTTAAACTAGGAGTTTAAGACTCTTTCTCCAGTGTGTTCTTGGCAGCATGGCATGTGCTATGCTGAACATTAAAACATTGTAGAAGGACAAGAATTACCCATCCAATAAAGCAAAGTGATGCTGCTTAAACAACAAAGGAGCAGTATATTAAGCACCTTCATTCAACAGCTTAATGATCTCAACCTCATCATCTTCTTTTTTTCAGTTGTAAACGAGACGGCAGCTTTCTCTGAGACATTTCAAAGGTACCACCATAATCAATGTGTATGTATCCATCTTGCCTTTTAACCCTCTACATAATACATGATGATCTTTCGGCCTTCATAATTACACCAATTTTACCATTCAAAGAGTCAAACGAGCAGCAAAACAACAAAATCACGACATTTAAATACGGCTCATCTAAATCCTGCATACTCGATTTAAGAGTAAAGGTTGGGCATCCGATACTGTTTCCAAACCTCTGACTGTGTGCCAGACATCTGACGTCAGCATTGAATGATGGTCTATCAACATGGCTGAAATTGCTTTACTTTCCCCGTCTTTCACGGGGAAAATACGTCAGCTCTTCGCTGCCACAGCCAAAACTCTGTTAAACAAAATCCAAACTGTTTGCTTGAAACTACCAGTGTGTGATGAGGAGGAAGAGGCTGGATCGCGGCGAGAGTGAAGCTGTGACACAGGATGAGATTTGCATCACTTCTTCATCTGCTGTGTTACACTCTATTCAGGGCACAGCTTCTAAGACTCCTGCTGGAACAGGGCACACGTCATGCATACGGAGCAAGCCTGCCTCTATCCGAATGGTGAAACTGCCATTAATATTCAGTTATATCTAAAAATATCCAGACACAACCTGCCATTGAAGGTTTTTCTAGTTTATAGAGATGTATTCATGTTGGTATGTATGCAATAAGAGCAGGTATGAAATAAATCTGCATTTGAAAAAACAGTTTATCCAAATGTGAAAGCCTTTCATTCGCGTGCTTCTAACTGGACAGTTGTGTCATGGACAGGTGAGGCCTTCTTTATCATGTCTTCATTAATTATGCAGGTAAACGGTTTGGAGCTCAGCCCTGTATTTGGCAGCTGTATGAACGCACAACCTTCACCCAGAGGAGCTTTATATATAGAGATTAATCCGGCCATTCTTTACACAGCACGCTAAAAAGAAACATCAGGAGAGGCTTAACCAACAGTTTTAGTTATTACTAAAATGAAATGAAAAATGAAGGCTCCTTAAAACGTATAAAGGCTAGGGTGACTGCAGAGAACAGCAATGTTGGATGATCAAAGGGTTTGTTCAAAAGTAAAGGAAAACCTCTTCACAACTTCCAGCTACATGAATAACGCTCTCCGGGAGGGAGACATGTCATCACTCGGGTCTAGCATGAAGTGAACACTTCACAGGGGAGATGTAGAGAGTTCACCGTATAGTAAGAACCTCACAAAAAAACAGACATAGAAAAGGCCACGTAAGACCTTACTTATAAAATAAAATAAACAAAAATCTGTAAGTCGATCTGACCCCAACCTGAACCGGAGGAATAAACTTTTGATTATATTTGTGGTAGATTGCCACCTGACCTATCACGGCCTCCAAAGACATTGTGTGTGTTAGTACAAGTTTTACGACAGACAGAAGTCCATTGTTATTTCTAAAGTGTACAGCAATTTACAGTCTGCTCAGTCATCTGGATTGAGGGACATTTTTCCTATTAAGAAAAGCACTGAAGAAAGAATGAACCTGAAACTTCCATGTGGTGACTTGAAACCTGTCATAATGTGTCGTTACCAACAAGGCTAAGTTGAAAATGTAATAGAAATGCACATTTTATTGATGGTTTTAATCTCAACTGAAAACATGGAGGGGATTTTTCATCAGATGAACAGTAACACACATACAAAAAAAGTTTTTCGCTGATATTTTTTTTCTCTAAGAGGGTGGTGATAAGCCTCCCTCAGCTGCACTCATGACCCAAATGGCTGGAAGGCATTTATATCAGCCACAAAGAATCCAACATTGAGTTCTACTCAGTGTCAGAAATATGTATGTGCAGCACCAATAAGGAAGCATGATTTCAATCCCTGTCTCATACAGATCTGATTAATGGATGCTAATTCATCCCAGATCACATTTTCACATAAAACTCAAGGAGCTGTTATGTATTTGTTTCCACAACCCTGAAATAATGGCATGCAGCGATGGGGAAATGCACAAATGATCAGCTCTTTTTTTTTTTTAAATAAGTGAATTACATGGGCATGAAAACCACTGCTGAGAAGCAACCTGTAAATAAACGTGTGCTGACTGCAGCAATATTAATCAAAGAGCTAACAATCCAAGTTCGGGAAGACACAGAAACATGCGATACCAAATCAGACTCACTCAGTTTAGTAGACGAAGAAATGTGGCAACAGACCGGAGGGAGAAATCTTCTGTTTGCTGGGCTGTTGCGTTTCAGTACACAAGTTTGGAGCTCCTTTAAATACCACAGCGTGGACACACCCTTTAGCAGCAGCCAGCATGAATTGATTTGAGCAACACCATCACCCACTCAAAGTTGTGACTGCTAGAATAAATAGCTTAGTTTGTGGCAGAATTGACTCAATGCAGGCGCAAAAAAATCAAGTATCAAGTCCATGTTAAGTATCTGATCTTTATTTTTTATCATCATTTTGTTTGTTTTCCATGATAGACTCACCTAATTATTAGGGTGTCAGAGACTTGACTGGCATCTCTTTAAAGGATTGGCTTGTTCTACCTTGTTCTTTTCAAGTTAAGCAACATATTTCCCACGTCACAGCCTTTATCTTTATTTCCTTTGGAGGTGTGTTCTGTGTAACAAGCCTCTTCTTCAATGGTCTTCAGCTGACAGAGATCCACTCAGTATTTCCGCGTATCCACAGGTAATCATGGAGTTACACCAAACAGATTAAATGCACTCATGCCCATAATAGAACTTTCCCATTACTTTCTCTTTTTAAAACTTTCAAATCTGTGGATATTCCCTGAGGCATTCCCGGCCGGTTCAGAGCAATATGCTGGAACAATGTATTGTGTTTTCATCTGATCAACATGCATGGTTTTATTCGTCAGCTTCTTCTACAAAGTTTGATTTTGCAAGAAAAGTTTTGCAAAGTTGTTTTGGTTTCATGGGCCGTGTACACGCAGATTTGACATTACACAGACCAACACTCCATTCGAGCTGTAAACACTCTAATTTCAGACAAACATAGCTTTATCAAAGCAGTTCTTTTCAGAAGTATTCTGGTTTTGTGATATCAGTTCAGGTCAGTTAAACCTATTTAAATCACATAATCATAAAACAATAGTTATATTAAATTGATTTTTAATTGATCTCACACAAGGCAGTTCTCTGTTCTCTCACATAACTATTTCAATCATCCCAACAACTGTCACCACCATAGAGTTTAGTCCAAATGGAAGAAAAATATTACAATCAGCCCTTCTGATTGCAGCAGGAATACCAAAGCAATGATGAACGACTGCAGCCATTCCAAGTAAACACAAGAAGCTTCTGCTGCAAACAAACGGACCAGACTCAGTGAATATTCTGATTTCAATTGCACTGTGATCCCTGTTTAAACTGTCTGCTATCTGCAGTCATTTGAAGCTGGAGTCTCAAGAAATGCGCGGCTTGAATTGATTGTGTATTCTTCTGAGAGGACGTATGAGGAGGGAAAAGAGAAAAAATAAGATTTAATTAAACACAGGTTTAATTGTGTCTCAAATATCTCTTTGCGAAACAAGTGGCTTTTTATCCCGTCTCATATTAGGTTTTGTAGAAGGTTCAGGTGGCACTGAGAACGTCAACAGGTCGGCCGGTGAGTCGGTCTGGACTCTGCCGGAACCCAGATTCTGAAGCAGCTAAAAGCTGTGCCCGTCTCACAAATCGAGCTTGTAGCTTTCCCCAATATGAAAATGTCTTGGTTCCGAGGTAAGATGTCCCAACACGAGTCATTCTCCATACAGGTTCGTCTAATTGAAATTCTCATGAACTTCTTTCACATTTAAAGTGAGCCAACTTCCATTTGTGTGACAGACAGGACTGAGATGAGCAAACGTGACACCCTAACGAGTTCAGGGACTTTTCCCTGATAGATCAGTTTTAAACCGACGGCTAAACTTCAGCCTGTTGCCCAAAATAAGAGACACATTAAACAAGAATGGAACTTCAATGACTGTTGATTTCATATAAAGAATGATCAAATGATACCATTAAATCCGTAAATGTGAGTGTGAATATATCACAGGCGACAGCAGACCTTGGTCTTCATTATTTCTTCTTTTGTATTGTGACAGAGTTCTAAAATGTCCCAATCACAGGTGAATCATTCATGCGGCAGCCACTTCCACAGAAAGAGCTGCAGATTGAACAGCACAGGGACTCCAAAATCTCTGCGATGCATTTCTGGTTTTATAATGTTTCAAATTGTGTGTAGCTCAGGTGCACACGCTCCTAAAAACCAGACCAGAAAACCAAACTGTTTCTGTTGAGAGCCTCTGAGCATATACATGAGTTGTTTCAATTGGAGAAAAATGGAAATCTCAACTAACGTCTAAACTTTTACATAGCTTGAAAATGTTATAGGCCCGTCATTTGGGTTCACGTTCAACCAAAAAAAAACTGAAAGAAAAGATTTAAATGATCTCTAGTAAAGTTAATTAACTCAAATGTAATTTCCCATGAACTGAGCTTTAGACTCATGTCACATAGCAGTGAAGGTGACTCCTTAAAATAAATTGTGAAATTGTGAACTGAAAGGTGTGCTGTGCTTGAAATTCGTGATGTGTGTTTACTTTAAACACTCCCTATGAAAGAGTTTTTGTTTTTCTAACAAAAGGTATTCCTCGGTAAAACAAACCTGCATCGGTTGCAAAATCAAATGCATCGTATAAAAAAGGCAAACCGCTTAGCAGTGAGGTCACTTCAGGCTGGTCCAGATGACTCACAGGTAGAAAGAGAGACGCGCCTTCTATGTTACCTGATGATAGTGACTGGAATTACAAACGTCATTTCAACAAAAATTCAAATGTGTGAAGCTTAAATTGGATAAATTGATGAAATCCTTAGAAAGCAGATATAAATTAAAAACTAAATTACCAGATTAGGTGTCTTTGCAGGACGTGAATTGACTTAATTTGATCCTTTAGATTTTTTCTTTCCTTTCTCATGTTTTACTTATAGGACCTGACTGAGATTTTCTAGGCTAGATTGAACTATTTATATTATTCTTTCTTTTTCTTATATATATATATACACACACACACACACACACACATATATATATATATACTAAGGGGCTAAATCAATATGCTAGATTGATATATATACACATATAAAGTACATACACTACATCTACATCATAAAAAATGAGAGTAGCTCACAGGCAGTGACACAACATGTGCTGTTTATTAATGGATCTGTGACTTACTGTGCAACAGTATATTGTCATATTAAATGCTTTTACATAACCGTTCAAAAAAAAAAATGTATCTGGCAACTACATGATGCTCTGGTCATCCAAATGGAGCATTTCGTCCTAACCGATCTGTTAAAGCTCACAGAAGCAATAAGCCAGCATTGCTGCATACCACCCCATTTCCGATTTTACTGCATGCATTTTCACGTTGGGCACCTGTACGCATGCACCAAAAAAAAAAGAAAAGAAACAGAAAACTGTGGTTATTACACGCTCCCTCACACACACACACATAAACATAGTCTGTGGTGATTTGAAGTGGTAGATGGGGTTTTGACACGGGCGGTGGGGGTATCAGGCTTTCGGAGCCTCAGGGTTCCCTCTGACTGACATTCTCCCAAACAAGTGAAACAGACACACAAGACACTTTAAAAAGAAAAACACCCACTTGCTCATTTCACTACCAAAAACAGCCAAGGAGGACAAGTGAATGACGGGACACTGACGGCCACTGCTCCCGCCCCGTGTCTGGTCAGAGCAGGAGGTCCGTGACTGAGGGCAGCAGCTCTGATAGCTCTGACTCCACGTCTGGGCTCTGAGTGACAGGGTTGCCACGGAGATCGAGGCGTTTCAGCTTGCGGCAGGAGGCCAGCGGCTTTAGATCTGCCGGAGTGGAGATTTCTGTGTGTCTGGGTTAATGAAAAAGCCTCACGAGGACCTGAAAGCACTGGTGTAAGAGCCAGATCTGGATAAACAGTGGACAGCGTGTGTCTAGATGCTTTTCTAAATATAAAACAAGGACCTAACAAAACAAATTTGAAGCATCATTACAAAGTAGAAAGGTCCTTGACTTTTTTTTGCCTCAATGTCATAACCTGCAAACCTAATTAATTCACCTAAAGTGTATAAAGAGGAAGTGAAGCATGGGGGAGAGTGGTAATGATGTGTTGTTAAGCAGCTCTGCTTTCCTTAATGGTGCTGATGATTTGTGAAATTGGAGTGCGTGTTTGTATTTTTTTTTTCTTTCCTTTATTTAATCACTTCACTCCCTGGTTGGATAATTTATGCATGTGCTGAACTGAAGAGTCTCATTATCGGTGCAGCTTTATAAAAGGCTGCCACATGGCCCTGTTTGCAACCCTCTTTAATGTCATAAACCATCAGCGGCTCCCACTTTTTTCCTCCCTCTGTCTTTGTCTCCCCCCTTTAATACTGTGATTGTTGTCCAATGTGGAGCCGCGCACGCTGATTCACGCACATCTTGAGTCACTACTCCATGCTGAGAAGAGAACAGAGATCACAATACAAACTGATCCCAGAACAGGATGTCCCTCAACAGATGCACCGGGGAATATTAATCTCTGATTTAAGGATACTGTTGTTTCTCAAGGAGACTTCCTCCAGTCTGAGAAGGTGATAAACTCCCTCCAGGTTTTCTATACAGTTGTTATCAGCCTCCAGGACCTGCAAGCATGAAAATGTCAGAAAAACAGGTTGCCCTCCTACTCTGCTTCATAATCCGAGACATAAACAATGCAATCGGTGAATGAGAACTCTTCTATGTCGGGGACGTTACCTCCAGGCATTGCAGCATGGCAAACTGAGGAGGCAGCCGCTGAAGCTGATTGGAGGACAGATTGATGTGAGTGACCAATAACAGCTGGTCCAGGTGGCATAAAGTGGTCAGGTTCTGTTAGACGAAAAAGGGAGAGGCTATTTTTTCAGCACTTCTGTCAAGTTAAAAAAAACAAAAACAAAAAAAAAGAGATTCCCATCAGAGTTCTGAGCCTCACCCTGTCAGAAATGCTGAAGACTCGCACTTCGGCGTACTCCATTTTCAGGATGGTGTTTTCTATCATGAACTTGCTGCACAGGTCGTTGTAATAGGCAGAGCGCATGGAATCCACTTCCTGGAGCAGTGAAAGTGAGAGAGAGGGCAATCAAAATTATAGATCAAAACAAATACATCCCCTGACGGCGCCACAAACCGTGCTGTGTGTGGACAGTACTCACTTTGAGTGTTTGGAAATGAGCGAGTGTCTCTTTTTCATATCCTAGAGGGTCTAGTGCCCTCATCAGGAGGATAATGGTCAGTAAGCACCCTTCAGAGGCAGAGAGTACAGTGAGTGACTACAGTCAGAACATCGGCAGCAACTTGTGACTGTGGCGTTTCAGCGTCAGACTAACATTTGTTGAGTGGCTCCAGTTCTTGGAGCTGGTTGACCGACTGAAGCTCTGACTGTAACACGGAGGTCTTCTCCACAGAGAGTTCACTCCTACAGAGAGAGTAGGGGATCCATTAGAAACTAACCCTTAAACATGACAAATACCGTGCCAAAACAGTACCTGAAGAGCTCCTGATCGGTGGCGGTGTCGCGACACCAGCTCTCAGTTCGACCTGTGGAGGCAAAGGTTCCCGGTCTGAGTCAAAAAGGCATTCTAAGTCCGGCCTCTGACGGATCATGTTGAGAACAGAGAAGGGAAAAAAATAATAATAAAAAAAGCTGTGGGGGTCACCTGTGTAGAGCGCACAATCCCTGTGAGTGTGCTTTTCAGTCCAGTGCACAGTCAGGTTGTGCTCATTGGAGATGTCGTTTATCGTTCCAGGAGGGAGGTCGCAGATCTGAGCCCGTGTTAAGTTAGCCCAGGGTCAAAGCAAGAACAATTTACATTCCAAAAATAGGAAGAAAATGGGATTTAAACCTGTAACTTTTTAAGCAAAACAGGAAAAGCCTGGCCGTAAAACTAATAAAAGCTGTTACTCTTCAGATGGGATTTGACTTAATTAATCTGGAATCCCAACGGTCAATTAAATGTTTCAGCTGCAACACAATCAAATCTTGCCAAGAAAAAAAAAAGAAAAAAAACGAGACCCTGTGGCAGTAAGCGAATAGAAAGAACCTCGATCAGATGGATATCCAATTAATGAAATCATTATTTAAATGAGAGTTCTGTTTCAGTGACAGGAAAACCGTCCTGAATGACACCCATGGGGTCAGCAAACCAGGGATCAGACTTTTTAAAGGACATTCAAACAAGGAACCAACTTTAAAAGATGTGGAAAAGGCCTACAGAGATCTTCTGACAAAAGGAAGAAAAACTGTTGCCGCAATTTTCCCCCCGCATGCAAGCGTGGAACCATCCCCTAAGCCCACTGTCTCACTCTAAAACACGGCAGCGTCATTCTCTGGGATTGGGAGGGGGTGTGGGATAGGGGAAAAAAAAGATAGCAGAAATAAAAATACAAGGCAATGTTTCTGAGCAAAACCACAAAAGCAAGATTTCTTGATAAGGAGACATTCCTGCACAACTACAGCTTAAAGCAAACCGGCGGGAGGATCTTCTCCTCCGGCTGCTTGCCTGACTGAAGCTGACGAGTTTGCAGGTATGACAGGAATTCCCATCCCACTTGTGTGGGAGAGGTAAACGCGACATTTCACTGAGTAAACTGATCAAAGTATCTCAAGCGAACCACACTCGCAAGCCACAGCATCTTATCTCCATCGAGTGTGTGAGGAGTGACATGGGCTGAATGTTGAGCAGGCAGGCGGCCGATGGCGGCAGAGATGGCCGCCTGTGATTTCTTGAACTGCAGAGACAAAAGGATACCCAGACGGGGCTCTGTTTAAAGCGGGGATGGACGCTTCTCCACTCCACTCTCTGAGGCTGCCCATCAAGAACCAAGAACAGGCCGACCGACTGCGCCTGGCGGGAGAGTGAGAGTCAAACACAGAACATCGCTTCTCTCCTGCATGATCAAAGGAACGCTAACGTTTCTGTACGATCATAAAAGAGCAGGTACTGACGTTGACGGGCCTGGAGAAGGCAACAGCCACCCTCTCTTCCTCCCGACTGACATAGACGCAGCTTATCATTTCCTCCCGCTCCGCTGTTAAAGAAGACAAAAGAGCATTTGGAACTCAGGTTTGATCGAGCTGACAAGCAAAGCAAACAAATAACCAGCGTGAGCCCAGAAACCGGAATGCAGAGTGGAATCTGAATGTCAAAAGTTCCCCTACGACCTTTTTTCTGCCTCCAAATGTACTTTTAATAATAATATAGCTATTAGATTTTTCCGCCATTTCGGTTAGCAGCATGTTGGCCCTCCCTGCTCTGGGGGATATGAGGGCGTAACTTCCACTACCTGTCAGGGGGGCGAGCCTGTAACTGAGAGATAAGAGGGATGGCTGTATCCTGCAGGCTGTGCTGGTGAGTGGCGCTCACAAAAAAAATCAGGTAACATTATTGTTTCCCCATTTGATGTTAGCCACAAACAGAGTGAGCCGTCACCTGTTTTGCAGTCAAACGAAAATCAACTTCGATTAGGTTAAACAGCCAATTGTGTCTGTCGGGTTCAGAACCTCCATGTGGCGCCTCAAGCATGGGTTTGGTTAAGAGACCCAAAAAGAAGTTGTGCCCACTCTTATAGTTTTAAATGCAACCTCTCTGCTGAACATAAATGGTGTTTCCAGTGCAAAAATTAATTATAATCGATATCCACATAACCCCTGAATCTTATCATTACCTTGCACCGAAAGCTTAATTCCGTCTGCTTTAAACAGGATTTTATTGGCCTTACCAACAATCCAAAAAGCAGATTCATCAAAAAACATGTTGTATGGTCTTGCTGACCAAACTGATATTACTTGATCTATTTTCAGTAAGAGGAAATAGCTGCCAACTGGATCCTGAACCTTTTATTGGAGACTGTAAATAAACCACAGCCCCTAAATTTCCCGCACCTTTTTAATTTTGTTGGGAGCTTTAGTTTTTCTCCAAAGTCAGTGTGACCTGCAAAGCTCCAAAAAGGTACAGAAACTACTTTAGGGGTAGTTTTTCCATTTCAAACTTTCTGATTTGTGAGATCTGCATGCGCTTAGAACATCAAACAATGAACAACGGTGTAGGCATAATTTCAGATGTTAGGGTTAAGCTTAGACGTACCTCTTCCTAATAACCAGCGGTAGTAGAACCAGGCACTCTGGTCGTTGGGGTCGGTGAAGAAAGCATTTTGCACAAGCTCATATTCTGAAAGGAAGACATTTTGTGGAAAGCGTAAGACCCACAGAGTGACACTGCCCCCTATCTGTTAGCAATGAGTAGCAGTGGTTCACCTTTGAGGAGCTGCTCCTCACACACTCGATGGGACTGGGTTTGAGGGGAGGGTGGAGGAGAGGACTGAGGCTGGCGGCACGGCGAGGGGGGTTCCGGAGACTCAGGGTGGAGCAGCGGCAGTAAGGTGCTGCGGTAATGCCAGCTGGAGTAGTTTGAAAAGTTTGAGCCGATAAGACGATCAGTAAACTCCAGCTCCTTATCCACCGGCACGCCGGACATCCTCACAACCATCCGGCGGTAATCCCAGCAGTGGACTGGCAGAGGATAGAGTTTACAGGACACAAAAAAAACGGCTGGCTCTCGCCTTATTTCACAGTTCAACCACGCTGGCGTTCGCTTGCCCTACTCACAGTTGCGGTCGTCAAGGCTCAAGCAGCGATCGCACAGGCTCAGCTCTCTGCTCCAGTCCGGCCGGGGCAAACGGGCCGACACCCAGCTTCGGTGGTGCCAGCTGCCATAAGACTTCGGGTTCACCTTCAGACAAGACTCCAGAAACAACAGCTCGGCCTCATAAATGTTCTGCACCTCATCCTCATCTCTGAAGAAGACACAAAAACAAATACGCATATAACTCCACTGGCACATTTGAAGGGACTTAGCTGGATAAAAGCTAGTGATCTAACTTGATGGTCTCTTGGTGCATCAGGATTTCTCTTCTATAGTTCCAGAGCGTGGCAAAGTCAGGGTTGGACGAGAGGAGCTGCTGAGTCAGCTGGAGAGCTTCCTCATCCAAAACGCCATCTGTCCTCTGGCATGCAGGGAGAAATGAATAGGCATGAAAACAAATAAAACAAAAAAAGAAAAACACAAAAAGAGATCCATATTAAGACAGAAACCACAAGTAGTAAAGTGTCACTTCCATTAAACAATGTTGTTTATCTGTTTGCACTGTTAGAGACACTCAGCCTAAACCTTTTGGTTTTGATTCTGTTATATTGTTTCAAAAATAAAAACGAATAGTTCTGTGAAGCTTTCGCCTAAAATATAACTCAGTATCTGAGCATGTTAGTTAGAATGTAATAAACATCACAGTAACAAAGTTGAAAGTTAAAACGTTCGGGAAACAAAAGATGCTGCTTATTTGGAAGGAATCCATTCTGGCTGTGTACTGGACTTATTACCAAACCAACAGACCTTTGAAAAACAGGCGTCCCGTGCAGCCACATATATCTTCAGCTTCTTCTCTCGCTCTTTTCTTTTTTCCTCCTCCTGCTGGGCTGTAGTTTTAACTTTCACACGGCCATGCTGTCAAGAACAAAAATGACTGTGAGCTTCAGTGGGATTAGTTAATTCTACAGAGAAAGATAAGCATAAAGAAACAGAATACTCACACTGTACATCTTAGTCAGGGAAACAAAACCAAAAAAATATAACCAACTAATCATATGGCAGAAGGTTTTTATAGTGGTGTGTATGAAGCCTAAGCAAATTGACTTGGTCTAAACTGCTGGGAGATTCAGGCACTGCCACCTTTAGGGGTGGCAGGGAATTCAAATATATATCCAGAGACCAGCAGTTTTTTGGCTGAAAATGTTGTGTTTATGGCACAAGTAAAAGAAGAACAGCCAGAATTGTTCATGAATGGTAACTCTAATTCAGATAACCAATTGTTACACTCAAGCAAAGCAGGAAAATATCATTCATTGTGTTTCCTTGAAAGTTGAATTTGAAACCAACTGGACTACAGCAAGAAAAATACCTAAGTCTTAGCCCTAAGAACATGAAACATGAGGATTTGGTGGTCTCATTAAAAAGGTATATCCAGCATTATAAGGAAGTGCTGATGACAAAAGAGGGTTAGACCTTTTAATTTTTAGGTATGATAAACAGATAATAATGTGAGAATACTTCATGTCAAAAGAGATTTCAGTAAATGACATAATTCTTACCATCTTGCTAATTATGGAGGAGACTTCTTCAGGTATATGTTTAAATCAGCCTGTTTGGGGTGACAGACATGGTTAGGCCTGAGTAAAATCTGAATGATAAAGACATAAAAAAAGAGCAGAGGGACAGAAACGAAGAGTACATGCCGTGGGTTTTTATAAACTGTGGTAAAAAAAAAAAGCCCAGGGTTTTAACTTAGCTTGCTAATTAGCTCCGTTGTCAGTGAATAACACTGGGCAGGGCTCATTCCCACTTCTGAGAAAGCAGCAGACATAAACAGCGACCAGCGGAACAAAACACATTGTCATGGCCGCACAGAGAACGCACCGCCATCCACCCCACAAAACGCTCACCTTTTTCCTTACGTGTGGAGCTGATTTGTTTTTTTCACAGTGGAGTTTGACTTGTCATTTCAGGCTCCGCTAACGACTACAATTCTTCACTTCCGTCTCAGGAAATGTACGTCACAAAGTGCCGCATCCTTGCAGCCGCTATGTTACGTGGCCCTCTAGTGGAGGAGATAGCTCACTGCAGCGCAGGGACAAAGGGCTTCCATCCGTCCCCGAAGCTCAGTAGGTGTGAACTGTTTTCGTTTAAATAAAAAAGGTGGTGTTTTTCGTAACAATATATTGAAAAAAAATGTTTGGGTTGTCGGTTATTTAATGTATTCATATGTAAACATATAATATGGCTCTGCACTCATTTCCAGACCAGTCTGAGGGAGAGGCCACAAAATAAGTTTATTTGTAGTTGTTTTTTCAAGTTATTTTGTGTAGCCAAATTATTTTCAAATTCTTTTAAGTGAAAATATGACAGTGTAAGTGTTAATTTTAACTTGATCTTGTACTGATCAATTGCTTGTATTTAGCCAGATGTGCTTTAAGTAAGAATGCCACATTTCAGTTATAATACTAACTTTAATATGTGAGTAAAGTACACATTTTAGACATTAATTGCATGTCATTTTTATCTTTTTCCGTTCCACCATTACTACACTTGTTCTACAAGGTCCCCCTCATTTCATGGCACTATAACATTTGTAAACATTGGCTTTCTATGTCACTGTGATTACTCAAGTATGTTTTTTATTGCTTCATCGGTACAGTGAAAATAGATAGTTTCTACAGTTCTGACTTGAATCAGTTCCTGCCAGTAGGAAAAACCCTAACCCTAAAAAGTCAAGTGGGCTTTAATGGGCCTGAAACAGAGGGAAAAAAACTTCAGAGACGTGGCTCACACCTTAAGATTTCTAAAGTCAGCAGTCTGGACTATCATTTAAAAACATCGAATTTGTGAACTCTGTAACTGAGAAAAGAAATGGTGGGCCAAGGAAGATCTCCAACGGGTCTGTCAGGCCTGGGGGATTGTTGATGTTGTTTTGTCACGACTTGGTCTCGTCATTTCCTGTTTTATTTTGAAATCCTACCTCTCCTCTTGCTTCTGGTCACTTGCTGTTCCTCTTGTGCAAACAGACTTTCTTCCCTAATTCCTAATTGTGTCCACCTGTTCCTCGTTTCCGTTCTCTTCGTTGTCAGGTCACGTGGTGTTACTTGGCCTCGTCTTGTCACGTAAGTCACAGTCGTTAAGATTTTGTCTTCTTCAAAAGAGAACTTTCTTTCTTTATTTCCTTCTTTCTTTCTTTCTTTCTGTATTTATTTATGTGTTCATTAATTAGTTTTCATAACATTGTCGCCTTTTCATAGCGTTTTGATTTTCCTGGAAGGATTTTCTCTTGCATTGTTTCATAAACCCGTGGTTCCTCAATTTTCTGGAGGGATTTCCTTTTCTTTTTTCCCACTTTTGTTTTAATTTTCATGGTTTATATTCCTCCGATTAGCGGGGGGATCTTTGGTCTATAAATCATTGTCCTAGTCCTGTTGCCTCTCGCTAAGGTGTGCTTTGTCCTGAACATGACATTTTCATAGCTTGTTGCTTTTTCTCTTCTTTTGAGAATGAATCAATAAAAAGTTGTGCAAAGTGATTCCTGCGTCCTGTCCCGGGTCATGAAAAGATCAGAGACAGCCTTCAGACAGCAGATGTGTCTGTCAGAGACTACTTTACTTTTTGCCTGAGGTATTGGATATTAGCTGGCCTTAAAATAAATATTTTATTATCACCTGTAGCTCAGGTGTGTATTTGTTGTTGTAGGAGAACAGGACAAAGAAATGATGCATTTCCATGGAATGACAACTATTGTTTCATTTGACACATAAGCCATGAGACAGTTTTATTATTATTGATTTATTGCAGTCAGAATACAGAACATCTCTTGAGATGGTAGTGTATAAAGTTGAACAGCACGCATTGCAAACCATTTATTCCTATGATATGGTGAAGCCATTACGTGGAATACAGGGAAAATCTAAAATTACAGCTAATGTAATCAACTGTAAGAAGAATATGTACATGAAGTACTAAAATAAGAAATGCAATGAGAGAGTTTCTAGGCAGACAGAAACATGACTATCTTAAACTCTGCTAAACAGAATAGGAAATCTGATTAAACTTAACTGAAAATGTTCATTATTTTAAAGGTTATCTTATGACAAATAGCTCTTTTAAAATAAAACCACCTTACCTTACCTTAGTTACAGGAGCTGTCTCTGTATTTATCTATAAACAAATATGTATGTTTTATTTATGAGAATTCCTCTTAATGAACACAATTCCTGTTAAAGGTTTTACATAGATATCTGACACAATGCATTTCCCCTTGAAAATTTGCATCCTTCAAAATCAGACACTAAGAGCCACTTCCCAATTGTTTTAGTTTCATTTAAATGAAAGGACTCTCTCCCATTAGATGCAATTCAATTAGTTTTAATCTGATTTGTACTAGTAGGGAATGGATGTCCTTTAATGAAACCACTTCTCCATCTATGGAAGGTAGAGTTAGACTACCTTAAACCTTACTATTTTGTTCTTAAAACTAATTTATTTCACACTTATTTCATATACCAACTTGTAAAAGGTTAGTTTCAGAAAAGTCAGATTCTGATTGTGATTTATGATAACAGTGCTGCACTGACAAAACCTTTCTCAAAGCTTAAGAATTTCTTTCTTCAACACTGACTCCTCTTCTGCTCAAATACAGCGCTTCGTAAAATATGCTGAGAAATTTGCTGGGTGGATGGGTCAAGCCCGACCTATAGAGATATCCATCCATCCATTATCATTACCACTTGTTCCCTAATGGGGTCGCGGGGGGACAGGAGCCTACCCCAGTGGTCAATGGGCGAGAGGCGGGGTACACCCTGGACAGCATTTTGGAATGTCCAATCAACTTAACATGCAGGTTTTTGGACTGTGGGAGGAAGCCTGAGAACCTGGAGAGAACCCATGCAGACACATTCAAACTCCACACAGAAAGGTCCTGGCTCCCCCGGGAGTCAAACCTGAGGCGACGGTTCTAACCACTACACCACTGTGCCATCCGCTATAGAGAAATAATGCTATAATCTATTTACAGTCATCTAACTTGACTCCCACTCCCAAAGAGTGAACGTAATGTTCAGTGTATTTTTTTTTTCATGTTGACGCCCTTCAATTTTATTTCTTTTTTTCCTTTTTTTTTTACTGTTTCCTGTATACAAATGTGGAAAAGTGTAGTCTCCCTCAATTCTACCATTCACCCTGGACTGATTCTTGACCAAAGTCGGGTGGAAATGCAGATTTGTACCCCGAGGTAGCCTCAGAGAAGTTGAGAGTGAACTGGTTATCCACACCGGTGTTGATCTGAAGGTGAGACAGCCAATCCAGAACTTTGTTAAAGTGGCGGGTTGACCTCATCTGATCAGTCCGAGACTCGGCAATGGATGGCGCTGGACTGTCTCCTTTCACTGAAAATCAAAGCAAAGGCACATTTCCACTGAATCATTCTGTGTCACAGGGAATGGAGCAAATGATCACATAACCTCCACTCACAGTCAGGAAACAAAGCCTCCATGCTGCCCTGAAGAAAGGTGTTGCATGTCTTGATTTTCTTCTCCATCTCTTCAATTTCTTGGCTGATTTTCGTGTCTACATTCTTCTCCTTCCTGTTTTTCTTCTTAAAACCACTGCTTTTGACCAAGCTTTTGGTTGTGTCACCGACTACCAATAAAAACACAAGTATATATATATTAGTAGCGCGTAATAACAAAGACAGACTCATATTCTCCTTTTTCTAATGTTCTCTCCCTGAGGGCTTTGGGCTTACCTGTAGCTCCACTTTGCCTGATCTCTTCTTGCAGTTGGACAAGGGTGTCCCTGAACCCTGTCATCAGCTCCAGCTCTCTCCTCCTGTATTCCTTCTCCAGTTTTTTCTTCAGCACGTCTTTCAGCTGCTTCCGGTTCAGCTTCTCTGAGATTTTCAAATGCACACTATGTATGTCTGGGCAGAAGAGCCGGTTCCCGTTTGCTGCCGCCATCTCCTCTATCTTGTCGAAAAGCTCCGACACCTGACTGGCGTCGGACTTCTGCAGGTTGTTAACGACGTGATACTTATTCTCACACTTGTCCACGAGCCAGCGGAGAGGGAGGCCCTCCTGCTCAATGTGCTCCTCTATGGATCTGTCGGCCAGTCTGTCTCCATGGGTAAACAAGACGATGGTGTGTTTCCAGATGATGGGGTCAAAGAGGTTCATGTGCTCTTCCAGGGCGACACGATGCACTTCCCTGAACGTCAAGTCCAAGGGAATGACCAGAAGAACGGTGTGGACACCTGGCGGGTTCATAGTCAGACCTTCAGCTATTTCTTTGTCTATCTCTACAGAGCAGCGAGAGGACTCCCTCCACCCTGGGGTGTCAATAACGGTCACCTTTCGGCCTGCAATTTTACCCTCCTCTACCTTGCATATCTCATCCTGAACGCAGGAAAATGCTTTTTTTCGTAGGATGGTATTTCCTGCTGCGCTCTTCCCAGAAGTCTTCTGCCCCAGCATGGCCACCCTGATCTCCCGCAATGTATTCCTGGAGCCTGACACACACACAAACACATACAAATTCATTGGCTCGGTCACAGTCCGACTGAGACATAGTATCACACACTCAGATAATGTGGGTCTGTACACCAGCAAATCTGCATCAGCAGCAAAGCATGTAATCCAGTCAAATGCCAAATAATGAACGAAATTGCATTGAATTAGAAATAGAGAGCAGATTAAAAACATTTTTATAAACATGCTTAAACTCTTGATAACTGCTTGGGTTTGTAGTGCTGTAATTCTGTTGACCTCTGAAATCTGTAACCTCTGATAGTGAGAAGTGACATTGCCTTTCTAATCTGCTGGTGATGCTAATACCAGCTGACTGCGACTTACCTCTGAGGGATCTCCTCATTTCCTGGACTTGACTTTGCCTCAGCAATGCTCCCTGCTGCACTCTTCTTTGCTTCTCTTCAATGGCTGACAATAACTGCTCATCTGGGACAAAGCATTTGCCGCCATTCCTGGCAACGGTTCCACTGATCTTCTCCAGCAGCTCTGCGACCTGGGCGCCGTCTTTCCAGTTCTTGTTATTCAGGACGTGGTACCTGTTCCCACATCGTTCAACTAGGGACCGGAGGGCCTCCCCCTCGCCTTCGATGTACTCCTCTATGGTGTGTGTTCCCAGCCAGTCTCCTCGGGTGAAGACAATCATAACGTGCTCCCAGAGATCGTCCCCGAGGAGCTCCACGTGGGTCGTCACGGCGTCCAGGTGTTTCACGTTGAAGGATGCGTCTGCGTCTATCACCAGCAGGAAGAGGTGTGGCCCGGGAGGACACAGGAACAAGCCGCTCATCATCTCCTCTTTGATAGCTTCCGGAGTGTCAAGCGCAGGGAAGCCTTTCCACCAGCCCGGAGTGTCAACCAGAGTTACTTTGGTTTGATCCACAAAACCCTGCCGCACCACCGAGTGGGCCGTTCGTTTTCCTTCTTCTTGATCTTTAAAGCCGAAGATAGTGTTCCCCACTGAGGTTTTCCCGACGCTTCGACAACCCAGGAGAATTAGCCGCAGTTCTGGAAAGGGGTTCATGTCTTCTGTAATCAGATAGAACACATTTTTTGGTTAGGTTTCAGACTCCGATTCTCAAAAAGTCCCAGAATATAAAGGTTTAACAGTAACTAAACACCGCAGCACGGTGGTGTGGTGGTTAGCACTGTCACCTCCCAGCAAGAGGGTTCTGGGTTCGAATCCCGGGGGAACCAGGACCCTTCTGGGTGGAGTTTGCATGTTCTCCCTGTGTCTGCGTGGGTTCTCTCCGGGTTCTCCGGCTTCCTCCCACAGTCCAAAAACCTGCATGTTAGGTTGATTGGAGATTGGGGAAATTGCCCTTAGGAGTGAATGTGAGTGTGAGTGTTTGTTTGTCCTTGTATGTCCTGTGTGTTGCCCTGCGATGGACTGGCGGACTGTCCAGGGTGTACCCTGCCTCTCGCCCGTTGACCACTGGGATAGGCTCCAGTTCCCCCCGCGACCCCATGAGGGAATAAGCGGTATTGATAATGGATGGATGGATGGATAAATCATAAAAGTAGGAACACTTAGTATTATTAGTATTATTTTTGTCCACTTTAACACATATATATACATATATATATAGTAAGCTCTAATACTGACAGTCTATGCTAGGTAGTTTTTTTTGTTGTTGATATTTTATGCTGTTATGTTTACATCCAGATAGGAAGAAAGCTTTAGCAATAATGAGATTAACAATATGCATTATTTTAAAACAATGGACTCAATCAGTCTTAAAGCATACCCAGCGTGTCTCGTGACAAGACACTAAAATGAGAGCATGTCAGTTTTTTCAGACTTTTTCAGATTCCTGCGTCACATTAAGTGTCCATTTGAGTCCACCTGCCGTCCCATTCACCTGTGATGAGCGTCATCGCGGCTCGCCTTTGCTCTTCGGCCTTCCTCTGTCTCTCTTTGGCTCTCTCGGCCACCTCCTGCTGTTTCTTTGTGATGATCGTCAAAGTCTGCTCATCCACCTTGTAGTAGCGGCCGTCGTTGTTGGCTACCATCTGGTCTATCTTCTGCAGCAGCTCTGAGACCTGAGACGAGTCGGATTTGTCTTTGTTGTTGAACACGTGGTACCTGTTGCCACACTTCTCGATCAGCCACATGAGCGCTGCCCCCTCGCTCTCGATGTGTTGCTCTATGGTCTTCTTCACCAGGTAGTCCCCACAGGTGAACAGCACCATTGTGAATCTCCACACCCGCTCGCCCAGGAGCTTCATGTGCAGCTCCATGGCCGTCCTCTGCTCTGCAGAGAAAGACGAGTCCACGGGGACGACCAGGAGGAAAACGCTGGGGCCCGGCGGACACTTGGACGCGTTAAGTTTAAACCTTTGCTTGTCCCCCTCTGGGATCTCGGTGAGGCGAAGGTGGCTGCCCCATCCGGGAGCATCGACCACAATCAGTTTCCTGCCCTCCACCACTTCATGCCTGACTTCAGCCTGAGCCGTCCTGACCTGGCCACAATCAAACCTTTCCTTCCTCAGGATGGTGTTGGCAGATGAACTCTTTCCCGACCACCTCCCGCCAATGAGCACCAGCCGGATGTCTGAGGAGGACATGTTCTCTGCATCAAACACACACACACAAAAAAATCACAATTTTGCATGCCTTTTGCCTTGGAAGCCAGGACAAGTGAGCAAATGTCCTATGGAGTAAAACACTGGAAGTTAATTTATCACCAGACAAAGACAGCTGTTTACTGTCTTGAATGACTAACACAAAAGGAACGCGCAGGAAGACTTGTTCCTTATGGTTTTTTTAAAATCCTTTGATCCGAGACACAAGGTCTCCCAAAATAAACAGTGAGCCATTTCAAGACTGAACCCTGATCTAAGAAATGATCTAGCTAGGTGACAGCAACTGTAATGATAAAGATGGTCACAATCAGCTGAAAATGTTCCCCAAGCAGCCATTGGAATAAGCTCATGAGATTTTGTTTGATGGCATCAAATCACCAAACGCTAACTGACCTCACATCCCCTGCTTTTGGCGACATCTTTGGCTGTGGTGATTCAGATTTATATTTAGAGGCCTTCATTTGCGGTGGTAGAAATATCCACCTGCCCTGTGTTTTTTTAAATGATTTTTTAGCATTGCTGCCTGCAATTGAGATGGGCATATTTTGGTATATTCAACAGCTCTGAGTCATGATCTGTGTCACGGTCTCTTTTGAATATATTAATTGTTAGAAACAGTCCATCGTTGTGCAGTCTTGAGGCTATAAAGCTTCCAGAAGAAAACAGAAATCGTGTTTGGGTTCCACCAAAAGGCAATATGAACATAAACGGGTAGGAAGTCCCTTACATGCATCAAACTCATACAAGGGAACATCTGCTAGAAAAACAGGAAATTGAGAGAACTTATACCAGTGGCTTGATTTGCAAAAACTTAAAGAGGCATATTTTCATAAACTGTTGCACTGTTACAGATTGGAAAACAGTCCTGAAATTTCATTGAGAAGATTTTCAGCCTCATTTAGATATATTCATAGATGTTTTCTATGAGCTCATGAAAAATACAAATCCATTCTAGTAATCTAATTTAAGAACTGCAGCTCAAACACGAGAGTAAAATCACTCTCTCTCTTAATGACCTCATAAAATTAGGTGACTGTTGTTGATCAGTAGACGGGAAAAAGATTCAGTTTCTTCCGAGCACACAAAAAGAGGTCTGACAGGTTTCTTAGCACGATCATGCAAAGCTTAGCTGTTGAGAATGTCACACAAACCTATTAGGTCCTTCATGCTGGCTTTAATAACATTATCCCAAAATCAATCTAAAAGTTAATGCACACTGTGAAAAACACATGCCGATCCATTTGAGTTATATCCATTTATTTATATTAATCAGCTTAATTTCTTATGTTTTGTTTCTCTTTTAAAAGATGTGCATTTATGTTATGGCATCAAAAACTGGAAAAACTGACAATTCAAACAGGATTGCAAACGAAAATAAAGTGTTTGTTTGGTTCCTTGACCGTCTCCCTGCTGCACTGGCTGTGAGTTCCTTGAGATTAGCTGTGTCTTTTGGATCAAACATTCACCATCTTATTGACTTTATAAGTCACACTTATACCAAACCAAGTTATCCCTTAGATCTAAAATGAAACCTTGCAGCCTGCTGAACAACAAATTCATACTCAACAACTCCTCTTCGTCAACTAACCAGGGCTGTTTTCCATTTGTTTCCGTTCTTCTGTTCTTCTCCCTCCCTCTTGTCTGCTGAACCCCCCACAGCTCCCAGAGGTGGATGAATTCTGTTCAGCTTAAAAATAATCAAATATTCACACAAAACTTAGGATCAGTCTCAACTGCCCAGGCTCCTTAGTTGTCTCTGGCTAATTGCCTCCCAAACTGTAATAGGAGAAGGCAGCTCAACCGGTTTTGTCTTGCCTTAAAACCAGTTGTGTAGGTATGTAAAACACCGCAATGATGGTAGGTTATTACCGTCAAAACACAATCTTCACTTCCTGTGTTGAAAAAATATGTTGATAGGTAAAAGGTAGAAATGTATTTGTGGAGGGGGCGTGGCGCTCAGCTGCAGGGGGGAGGTGTGGAAGAGGCTCAGGTGAGCAGTGCCAGGGGAGGTGATTGAGCACACCTGGAACCAGTTGGGTAATCACTCTCCCCTCTGTAAAAAGAGTAGCGTGCTGGACCTGGGGAGGACTGGTTTTGGAGAGAGCTGGAGCAGGACCCGCCACCAGCTCGGGAACGGAACCAAAACGGCCCATAAACAAACGAGCCCTAGCCGGGCGTGTGTGAGTGTGTGCTTGTGTGTGCAAGAGTGTGTGTGCTTGCGGCACACACGCTCCAATAAACCTGTCAAACCAACAAATCCTGGTCTCAGAGACTCTGTCGGGGCACCCACGGTGGCACGACTGTCACAGTATTGCAAACTGATATTTTCTTCACAATGGAACATAGACGATGCATCAAATATGGAATCCCATGTTCACCACTTTGTAGCAACGGCTTGAGGAAACCACCAGGCCAGATGCTGGACCTTTGGGTGGAATGCTGTGCCTGTTCCACATGTGTCCAGATTCATTCTATGAGTGGTTTCACTGGGCAAACAGAGCTGATTCCAATTCTACGACTCTTTTGTTTAGTCCATGATGTCACGTACTGGAGATGGCAGAATATTCAAAAGCGTGTTAATTTTATGCCGCATAATAGGATTTAAAAACTGCACAGCATTTTTCTAGTGGGTTTTTACAAGATTGCTAATTTTGAATGTCCAAAAGAAAGTGAAAAGATTTAGAACTATGAACCTTTCAGCTCAGTTTGTTTTTCTTTTCTTCTCTTTGGTCTGAAGGCTCTGGATAAAAATTGTGTCCCAAAAACAATGCTATGGCATAGATGGCATGTGTCAAGGTAATAAGTCTCTGAAGCGCTATGGGATGAGTTCACCATAAAATCTTGTTGAAGGAAGAATTGGAGAGAAATATCACATTACATTAACACATATTTTAATATGACAAACGTGAGAAAACGTAGTTTGTTTACACTCTCTGTGAGGTTCCTGTGAAATCTGAAGTAACTGTGAAGTCGTAACTTGTAAACCATAAGTAGTCTGTGTTTCTTCATATTTATTTCACGTTGAAAAAATACTTTCATCTTTCAGACATTTAATAAGCAATAAGCTGGATGGTTCTTATATTTGAGTCGCTGGCTGAGTGATAAAGTGGTCCTCTAAGTGCTGGGGTACAGCTGCTTATCCAGCAGGTTGGACATCTCCATCCAGGACAGATCCCACTGCACCTCAGTCACATCCTGTTTGGTCTCAGGGAGGGGCACCGCTGGAACCTCCCCTTTGGAGATCGGCCAGCTGCTCCGAGTGGAAATTGTGCGATAGCTTCTAACAAACAACAACAATGTGTGATTTGTGACAGACAGACAGACAGACAGAGAGGTTAGAGATGCTGCCCGCCGGAGAGAGAGAGAGGTGCTGTGTCTTACCAACTACGCCTCACAAGCCAAAGGGTTAGAGGAATAAGGAGAAGAGCAGCACAGCAGCACAAAACAATCCATTTCCAGTGACCTAACAAAGAGGACAAACAGATATTACTTTGATACAAAGATAAAAATTTAAAAAACTGCTATAACATAAAGATGACATGTTCCTCAAATCAGCATCTGGCAAAACAAAATGGACAATGATCTCAACAGGACAAATATCCTCAATATATCAAATATCCTTCATGACTGTGTTAATGACTGGATAGAGGCTGATTTACTGAAGACTGAAAAGACCATCATCTTAGTTAGTCTTGTAGACAAATTCAACCGTTATTGACCATGACAGAAACCAATCATCTTACCACTTTTGGATGCCCCTGCTTCAGTTGTTGATCCGCCGCCTTGAAAACATGCAAACAGACACTGATTCAAATTGACTGCTATATATAAATACAAAATCATCTGCACGTGCAGCACAACTCAGCTCAGCTGACCTCGACCAGCTATCACTGACAACCAGCTTTCGGGGCTCTCCACCCCTCCGTCCTTTAATGCACACTTGTAGAAGCCTTCGTCTTTCTTGGTCACATTCGCGATAGTCATGTTCGCCGCTCTGTCTGAGCTGGAAGTCGCCAGAGTGCTGATTACTTCTCCCCCTCTGAAAAAGACTGCCTCGCTGCGATAGTTGGTCCTGTGCTGACAGTACAAGATCACGTCGTCACCCTCGTGGACGGGAAGGGCCGGAGTCCTCAAGAGGATTTTGCCATCTGCGGATCAACAACAGTCGAGAAAAATCAACTTCTCCCTGCGACGTTGGTTTAAGTGGACTGACATTTAGAGTCCCGGGTCACTTTGCTGTCATGTTTTCGTACAGGATCGTCACACGTGTGGCCACAGCCTTATTCAGGGCTGACAAAGACTCACAGCTTACTGAGATGCTGACCGCATTGCTGCGGCCGCCGGCGTCCTCGCACCAGTACAACCCGCTGGTCTCACCGGCAGCGGTCAGGACGCAGCCGTCCGGTCTGCTCAGGGCAGACCCTCCCAGTGCCGAGCAGAGCTGCGGGTCACCGGCCGCGGGCCTGCGCGGCCGGCGGGGGGACGCGTGCCTCAGCCTCCAGCCGGTGGACGTGGTCTGAGACGCCGGGCACTGCAGGGCGAAACGCTCCCCCGGGAAGAACAGCCTGCTGCTGGGGGTCAGAGTCAGGGAGGGAGGGGGCAGCGCTGAGGGTGGACAGGGGAAGAAGACAGGGGAAGAAGACGGGTGTCACGGTTGGATTTTGAAGCATCTGACAGGCTGCAGGAAGCTGAGTCCTGTAGCCGGGCGTCTGTTTTCTGCAAATCTGCTCCAGTCTGCAAAGTAAACGGCGTCCGTCGGGCCAGAGCTGAATCATTAAATACCACAGGCTGAGTTTACAACACCCCCTGGCTGCTTTTGGGAGCAGCTGCAGATGTGCAACCCCGGCAAATCTAGCTCCACCCTCCTCCCTCTTGTCCTCTACGCTCCTGCGCGCTGTGGGAGAAACCCGATTCCACACCGCGGGAAATGCGGGCCGCCGCCGCTCACCTGACACGCTGAGCACTACCGGCTCCGCAGTGACGCTGGCGTTGCCCCCCCGCTGCTCCGCTCTGCACCAGTAGCTGCCCGCCGCCTCCCTGGTAACGACCGGGATGGAGTAGTTCTCGCCGGAGACCAGGTGCCCGGGCAGTGGGGCGGCGGCGGCGGCCGGCCGTCCGTCCCTGTACCAGCGGTAGGTCCACGCAGAGGTGGAGTTGGAGCGCAGACAGCATCGCAGAACCACGCACTCGCCCAGGTAGACCTTTGACCCCGGAGGCCACACGGAGACCACGGCCTGCGAAAGCTCTGCAGGAGCAGGGAAAGTACACCAAGCTGTTTGTTTGTCTGTTTGTTTTCAGGATTGTGCCAGAAATTCCGTGTTGAAGGCCATTTAAATCTCACTGCAGACTGTAGGAAGCCAAGGATGGATATCCAACTCTGCCCACATCCAAGTCGGCCATTTTGATTACGTCACCAATAGGAAGATCCCAGGCAAGAAAATCGTAATTGCTTCATGGTAATATAGACATTAATCTAAAAATAGTGAAATGAATCTTGCAAACACTGAATTAAACTCTATACATAATTTTATGTTAAAATACTGAATGTTAAATATGTTTGTACAATAAGTAAGTTTAACCAAAAAATGTGTCTTTCTCACAATTAGGTTAGGGTTAGGTTTAGGGTGAGGATTAGGGTTAAGGTAAGGGTTAGGACTACTCATATGACCTAATCAACATGGCCGACCTGGATGTGGGAGGAGTTGGATATCCAACCAAAGCGTCCTACAGACCGCAGCGAGAGGCTACTGTCGAAGGCCGCTGCCGGCTGTGTTTACGGGTTAAGTGCGCCCCATACCTTCAGGCTTCACGCTGTGGCGCATAAAAGCGGTCACACCTGAAATACAGAAAAGTTATGTTACACAAACGTGTTCCTAACCTACGCCAGCTCGCTCCACATACTGGCAGCATGAGCACGGTGGGCAGCTTGCGTTGTCCCTATCCCCAATGTACCCACTCACAGTTAGGTGTAGCTCTTGGGATTATATGATCAAGTTCAACATTAAAGGGAACTTAAATGCACATATTTTCAACAGAATTGTGAAACTCTCACTGTGCCCAGAAGTCACTTTGAAGCCCATCTGTGCTGCTTTTTTTTTTCTTTTTACTTCACACACATACACACACACACACCCAAAGGCACACTATTCCTTAATGAGACTGTTTAGACTGCCATCCTCCCCGTGGGAGCAGAAGGAATGCACACATATTTGCTGTGTTTTCCTGCTAGGAAACCACGCTCTACAGTGGCTTAGTTTTACTATGATCATATGCTTCTGAACAACAAACATAATGTCAGAGAGAGAACACCGCTCATAACCATTTGGCAGCACTGCCCATATCACCCACATTTAGATTTTCAGGTCCCGACTGTTGAGCATCATTTCAATTTCACATTTTCAGCAGCCTGGTAAAACTTAAAGGCCTTAATACAACACCACAGATATCTAGCATCAGATACGACCAGGAGAGCCCAGCTTGAGCTCTGCATCAGAACAATGACAACAGAATACAGAGGCTTTTTAAATGTTTAAACACCGTTTGTCCGCTATTAGAGTAATTTTGTCCTGAAAATAGAACCCTGTTTATCCAGCAGAGGACTTTTCTGGAAGTTGGTAGCAGCCAATAATTCATTACCTGTAATACTCACCCAGCAGTAAGGAGACAAGGGTTAAGGGCATTCTGTCGAAGACTAAAATTACATCAGCCAGTCCTCTGCGTCTTTGAAAGTGATGTAAGCTTTAAAAAAAGAAACTAGTTTTGGATATTTTTCCTGTTTTCAAATGTGTGGATGTTTCAGGAGATCAGTGCGGTTTAGTGAAGCCGGCTTCATTTTAGAGGCTGAGTGGCAGAATAACGATATCTGCACGGAGGAGCCACCGTCACAGCGAACCACAGACTGAGATGATAATCTTGGTGGAGACATTTCCTTCCTCTGCGGATTAGCTAACAAGCGGAGCCATTTGACAGCGGGACTGAACGCAGAGTTTCAGACCACCTCGCGGCCAATTTATCACCCAGCAGTTATACATTTTGTCTGCTGTTACGGCCGTGTGACCTGAAACAGATGCTGCAAATGTCAAAGGAAATAATTCAGTCCGTCCCCGCATTTACATGTTTTCTTAGTTGTTCGGGGAGTTGATTGTTTTTTCTTATCTCTCGTTCGCTCTGTTCACATCCTCATTTTCTTTCCACAGCCTGCTGACTGGGATGCTCATTCTCTCTTGGGGAGCATTTATTTTTCTCCACTATAATCGAGATGGATAAAGTTTTGGATTGAATTAGTTGAACAACTAGTCTCTTTGTCTGCCCACAGGCAGCAGAGTCCAGCACTTCGGACGTGACTGGAAAGTCTCAGGAAATGGGAGATGATCCACCATGTAAATGGGTAAACTTTGGGCTTTTTATGAAGTGCCTCTAACAATTAAGTGCCACGGCATAAATAACAAGACCGGAGAAACCGAGGAACAGTTTCGTGCGATTATGGACCCTCAAGGATGAATCCTAAAGATCCGGTGACCTTTCCTCGAGCGCCTCCAGCAGGCTGACATTTGTTGTTTTGGCTGAAATGTCAAAACAAATGCGATCACATTTTCCTGACCCTCCTCAGAATGAAGTGATTAACTCTAAGGATGCCTTCACTTTTTATATGGCATCCCCCCGCGGGGGTCAAAATGTCAACACATCAAGTTTGATTTATGAACACTAACTTACATTCTCAACAGCCTCAGCTGTATGTTAGGGCTGACAACCCAAAGCTAGCATATGAGCTCCTTTAAGACACGCACTCCTCTCTGTTAATCTGTTCATTCTTGTCAGACTTTGTGTCTGAGTGACCATCTTATCTCATTTTCCATCAAATTTGTGACGCACCTGTCATCAATGGCCTTAGCGGCTGAGAAAATCAGTAGGCGTGAGGCTGAGAAAATGGGCAGTTCCACTCTGTGTTTATTCACCACATTGAACAAATTCGGGGAAAAAAAATGTCAACACTTTACTAAAGTTATTTTGTAGAACAGGTCAACATCAGCACCAGCAGAGAAGAAGCTGCCTAAAACGACCACAAACTAAATAAAATACTTGAAATCGGTGTATAATCTGTACAGAGGAGGTAATGATTACCTTCATTACAGCACCATCCAATCTCAACCTCACCTGCTCGTACAGGACCAACTTTCTCACTTGTTTTAGGAGTTTTTAATAAACTCCTTAAACACTGTAACTCCTTGTTTAAAAGGTGGAAAGAGATTCAGAAAAGAGGGCCTAATTTGAAGATCAAAGTGGGCGAGCACTGGATAAGGGCCTCAACAGTTCCACCCAAGGGTCAATTACATGAGCACTTTATCTGCAGTTTCTTTTCAATTAGATACAGCTCATCAAATCATGAAATAAATTGAACATTTTTAAAACTTCCTCACTCCATGGTTTCTGTCATTATCAGAGGCACTGCCCCGACAACTTTCAAACACAGTGTCTGAACCAAATGAGGAGAAACAAGAAGCAATCACCATGTAATTCACGGAACATCTTCTTAATTAGATAATCATAGGGAGGACAAAAGGTTATGATTGAGACGGTTAACCCAGTTGAAATGGAAAAATAAGTCAATCATTTGAATTGTTACGGTTAGATTAATGAAGCTTCATTTGGCGAAAAACCAACAATAATCTTCAAATAAACCTGTTTGACAGCATGGGGAGGACCTCTATTTTTATCTGTTCCCATCAATTGCTTACATATGCTTTATTGTGATCTCAGTTCTTGTACTGAGTTTTGTGTTTGTGTTTATGCATTCAGCAGACTTACAATGCAGATACAACACGACAGTTAGCATCAACCTAACACAAAGCTGCATAGAAGAAAATCACTGATGACCAGTGGTGACCGTGTGGAGACAGAGGGAAGTATAGGATATGTATAGTTTGGGGGTAGGAGATGCTCCCTGAAGAACTGGGTCTTAAGGAGTTTCTTGAAGATAGACAGGGATTATTGTGGCGCCTGGTGGCTTATCCACCATCATAGAACAATACTTGGAAATTTTTGGGATTGTCTTAACCCTTTAAAGCCTGTTCCAAGATAAAATAGGGAGAGAATTGTGTTTTTTAGTCTGAAGTCTTTATTTGTTACTTTACCAAAACATGAAAAACAGAAATCATTCTTGAATATCTATAATTTATCACCAAGCGATAAGTCAAAATGAATGTTCTGCCAGCTGTTGTCAAGTATATCTGATTGTGTACAGCAGGGTTTTTCAGAAAAGTTTTTACTTTTTAACTGATGCGAAAAGTGTCGGACGCATAAGATTTCAAACACCATATGTATCAAATATGATACATGTGATAGCGTGGTGTAAGCACTGTTAGGTGACCATCCACTGATTTACAAGTGCTCTGAAATGAAGATGAAGAGCTGTTTTTGCATTGTGATCGTATAACTTTTGATGCATGATCTAATCCCAGCCAAATGTCAAATAGCTATTGTGGATATGTGGAGGCTCTCTATTCATCACTGTCATGGACTGGTTTGAAAAGAAAAGCATGAAAGTGACCTACAGTATGTCGTATTCACATGAGTCCCATGTGCATACATTGACCTCCTCGTATTGATTTTGATACAATGAACACCACCGGCTTCTAAATTTGAACATCACTCACCTAGACGAACGTTAAAGCTTGGGACCTGGATAGACAGCTTAGCTCTGACACTGGCTCCAGACAAGTCTGGTCCGCAAAGGCTGCCAGACTTGAGGCTTGTTTTAGTAAATGGGTTTTGTTTTTTTAGCTGGTTATTGTCACATTCTGGATTGAGGTGAATTGTTGTTAATTGTAGAAAAATACAGTCAGCACTTCGAAAGATAATTCAGGGGAATCCTTAGTTCCATGACTTGTTTTATTCTGGTTTGATCTTTGGACATAGGCATTACCTTTTCTTTTCAATTCAGCTTTATCCTCCCCATAGATTTGCTCCTCCCACTGCACTGCACTTTCCTCTCTCCGTCTTTTATGAGGGAGAGTCGTTTGTTTGTTTTTTTATTTATTTACAAGCCATAAATATTTCTCCGGTGATGTAGGATCAGTGCAGTTTATGGGTCCTCTGCATTTGTTTTATAACTTCTGCGCCCTCACAGGTACCCTCACTACAGCAGCCTGATTACGCCTAAGTGGTCCCCGCCCCCTTATCCCCAGCATCATTATTCCTCCCTCTGCCTCCCATCCCATCCCATCCCACCTCCAGCCCCCCAGCCTGCACAGAGCCTCTTCCAGGAACCGCTTCGGCCACTCGGATGCTCTGCTGGAATGCCTGGGTAGAGAGACTATGCGCTCCGTCCGCTGCTGAGAGAGAGAGATCCGGCAGGGAGGAGGAGGTGGAGGAGAGGAAAAAGGAGGAGGGGTGGCGGTATAGGACGGAGAAACAGACATGGCTTCTAAAGAGATCACGGCCACTGGTTTCATCAGTGTGAGCAGGGAGATGACAGGTGGGTACGGCATGGCCGGATTGCTCCGCGTATTAACCTCGCCTTCGCCTCTTCCGGCGCGCGTATACGGTCGGGTTCGAGGCGGGTTTTTTTTTTTTTTTCCTCCCGGCGGTCTTTCGGGGGCTGCAATTGAACATACGCATTGGATGCTTGGTTTGAGCTGCACCTTCATGTTTTTGCCCCGAAGCTTTCCGGGGCGTCTCTCTCATCCTCGGCGCACGTGAATTAGTTAAATGTGCAGATGAATCATTGACAGGGCAGAGAAATAAACCAACCCTACCCAGCCTCATGCCAGCCCCACAGGGGAAGATCTAGCAATGATAAATGTTTTGTTTTTTTAACCCAGCCGTAGGCCAGAGAGAAAAAGGGGCGTTGTGGAATCGGGGATGTGAAGCCTACTCGTGGGTCTGAGACCGACACTCCCCAATCCCATTGTGACTTTCTTCTCTAACCTTCTCCTCCTTTGCAATTGACCTGTTTTCTTTTTTCTTCCCCCCCCCCCCCTAGCCCTGCATCCCAACTAGCCCGAGCGTTGTTGTGATGGCGAGCGTGCCAAAGTGCTGAGCGCTAGAACTGATGAGACAGATGTTCACTAGATCTTGCCAACAGAAATTGCACGAGCTAAATCAGCGTCGACGATGACCAACGGGAGCACAAATAACCCCCCCCCCACCCCCCCCCTCCCTCCCTCCCTCCCTCTTCTTTCCCTCTAACAGCAACAGCTTACACGCGTCAAAGTCGCAGCTCCGTGGTTGTATTACGGTCGTCCCCGCGCGCGCGCGCGCGCTCTCACACGCACGAGCACACCGACTGCACACATGCTCAGAAGTGGCAGGGGCTCTGCTGCTGCGTTAATTACTCCTAATGGCTCTATTAGGCGCGGGGTGATGATTAATCCAGTGGAATTCCTGCCTCCCCTCACAGCCTCTGCCCCCCCCCCCCCCCACCCCCCAGAGCTCACCTTCAGTACAGGGCAGCACCTGGTGGCCCGAGGGCCTGCACAAGGTCACCTGCAAGAGGCTTAACTCACCTTTTTTTCTGTGGCTGCAGATGGATTTGTGATGTTGTCCTTACAGTGATTCGACTGTCTGCCTCAGACAGATTTCCCGAACCGTGTGCAGTGATGTGTTCTAGCACCCCATATGGAGAAAGTGACAAAATGTATCTCAAGATTCCCAAGATGAACATATTTCACGCACCCGTGAGCATCGCTCTAATGATGTTCAATGTAAAAAATTAAAAAAAAGGGGAGGATGTCCATTTTTCATTCATGCTGACTTTAGCTCAATTTGAGACGGTTGTGAATCTGCAGACAGACGTAAAACATTTTCCTCCCTGAACTTGGTTTCGGAGCAGAGCACTAAAGCGATCGACTGAAGAGCAAACAATACTTGACCCTGGTTCCCACAGACTTATTGCACCGGGGCCCAATCCCCGCGCCCCCAGCCGCGGTATCGATCTCCCCGTAAACTCATCAGTCCGGGATGCTCAGCGGCCACAGAAATGGAGACGCTGAATCATGTATTTCCTGCCAGCGACTTAATGTTTATGGGATCGCTTGCACTCCCCCTCCCTCCCCAGTGAGTGAGACTCATCCTCCGGTACAGTGGGCGGATTGTGAGCCCCACAAGTCAGGGGTCACAACACCGACAGCGATGCCGTTTGACGGGAGCATCTCTCGTATGAATCACGGACAGAGATGCTCAGATGTGTCACGTTGGTCCAGTGCACAAGAAAAATGACGCTGAATCAAACTGAAATATCATCAGTGTCCCAGATAGGGGGGGTTTTAATCGTGGAGGAGTTATGTTCCTCAGTCAGTCAGCAACCTATCCGTGGTATTCAGGTTCTTTCCCACTGAGCAGATTTATGTTTGGGGGGGCACAAGCCGGAGCCCTGTTTGTCTTTTACCTGCATAAATGATGCAGCTAAGAGGGTTTGAATTGCAGTCAGAATAAAGTCCAAGTGCTTTTATTTATTGTGGGTTTTTTTACCTGGATGCTTTTTGCCCGCTTCAGCTGAATGAAAGCTGGTTATGTCATTGTTTTAGGATGCTGTCTACAATTTAGACAGACTGGACCACTGTGTTATTATCAGCCAGCAATGTACTGTAACAAAAAAAAAAGAGGCCTGGACTTTGTTCTGTTTTGATATGAAAAACTAAATTTGGAGAAATGCTGTGGTCTTTTTTTCCTTGTTAGGAGAACAGATCTAAGTATTATTCTAATCATTTCTTTGTTTATGTTTTGCTTTCGTCCACAGAAAGCATCAAGAAGATCATCGATAAATCATCCATAAAATTTGTTTGTAGCATCAAGCTCGACACCAAAAATGGCAAAACGGAGGACAGAATTCTGGTAAGCCGCTTCTTTCTGCCTCATCCTCGATGGCTGTGCTTTCTGAATAGGTCTTTCTTTTAACTCTGAGTTTCTGATGACGAGCACCACAATCCCGCGACATAGCCGGTCCACCGCATGCATCATGCATGTTCTGTGTCTTTGATCTTGACTTCCATTGGATCACAGTGCAGATATCCACAGAAGAAGATGCTCCTCACAATTTAACGTCTGTCCTCTATGGTCCTTGCCAACTGTAACGAATGTTGCCCGTTGTGTTTGACTCCGGCTGGCAGCCTCGCAAGGTGAATATTGGATAGACTATATTTATGGGGGCGCCTGTGGATTCCTCTGTGTTTACGAGCCACACAGTTGAAGCAGTCGGGGGTTGTGGTGGGGGGGGGCTGAACAGCCTTTGATTCTTGGGTTCTTTCATCAGAAAATATGGAACAGAGATGAAATCTCCGAGTTAGCAAAGCTCCGCCAGCTATCTGAGTCAAATCTGGGGCAGTCAGTCCTCACACTGTGGACTGGAACTTGAACTGGACCCTGGACGAGTTCCAATGTTAGCTAAACGCATGCTGGGGCTCATCCACGGGGGTAACATCCACATCCACTCCATTTCACGTCTGCACAAACAGCACCTAAAGCAACAAAAGTGAAATCTGGGCAGTTTTTTGCATTGTTTAATAGATTATGGACTCCTGTTGCTTTCTTCCAACAATCCCTCAGACAGCAAGTCGTTGTCCTGGCGTGCGGTGAGGACGGACAGTCAGGAGAAGTTCTGCATGCGTCGCCTTTGATGTTGAGACCCTTTGAAATCTCTATCTGCTAAAATAACGTCACCCCAGTAATCCCATTTCAGTTCCCTTTTTTTCACTGACCGTTTCCTCGGAGAGGCTGAGCCGGATAGCGTTGGGTTTCTTGCCCCTGCAGTGCGCAGGCAGAAGACAGCAAAAGATGGGGAGTTTGATCAAAGCTTAGGGGTCAGCATTTGGCTGGGGACAGATAAGCTACGGGGTGTCAGGGTTTTGTGTTTGGATTTCAACAAGGGGGCTGGAATCGAGTCGTCTGATGAGCCGAGCTTATTTTTTTTGGGTGGCGATCCGTGGCTATCGTCTGTCACCACGGTTCTCATGGTTACGCATGACATGGTTCGTCTCCATTTCTTTTATGGAGGCTTCATCTGGACTGTCAAAACAAAACTTATTCAGCGTAACTGTGAGCCACGATACGCGCGATGTGTGAACGGCCTCTTTTTCTCTCAAATACTTGAATAAGCGTCTTTTCCCCGTGCCGCATCAGCATGATTTACTTCTGTTTACTGCTAGCAGGCCTCTTAACGAGCAGCCTCAGCCCAGACTCATCACGGTAATGTGATACAATCTGGTGTCTCTAATCAACTCATTCAGATAGTCTTTGAAGTGATTCACAGGTCCTCCTTGCCCATCTACTCTTCATCTCAAATGCCTATTTTCCATAGTGAGTGTCAGTGTGCACTTCACACAGACCTCTGCCGAGCTCCTCTCTTTAAAAAAAAAAAAAAGAATAGAGCAGGAGAACAGTAATCTAATTACTGCTATTCATTGGGAAGAGACACATGGTGGAGAAGCTTTGTCCTCGGGGGTGTTTTAGCAGGGCCATGTGAGAGAATGGAGTAAATGATTGGGAGCGACGGAGCAGAAGAGGAGAAGAGAAAGAGCAGAGGGCAGTACTCAGGGGTGGCTGAAGAGCAGCAAAATGCCAAAGAATCACTACCCTTTGTTGTTCGCCTTGATAGAGGGCGTGGAACTGTTTTCAGGGTGTGTTTACCCAAAGAGAAATAGCTGCTTGCTAAGACGTATCGGGGGCAGAATCAGATTGACACAGGAGCTGCCTTACTTCGAGGTTTCAATGCCTGAAAGTAAACAGATGCGAGCACAGAACTGCTGCAATCGCTCCCTCAGACTGGGACTCTTCATTGGATTCTGGGTTTGTCCAAACCCCCCTCAACTTTGCATCGATCTAAAATTCACCCCAGGCAGCTTAAAAACCTTAGTTTGCTGAATTAGGGAACATGATGTAAAATGTGGTCGTTTTGACCCAGCATGCCCAAATTTATATATATACAGTATATATAAAAAATATCTCAGTTATCTCACAGTTAATCATTTCGGTTTTCATATCAAAGCCCTGGGGCTTATCATATTAGTAGGATTGTGATTAAAACTCTGTAAGATGTCCCTGCTGCTCGGCCTATATCGCAACATATTAATCTGCTAATGTTAGACATTGTGGTTCTCATATAGAAGGCTTTTAGCGTGATCAATACAGGAGTATTTCCTGTCATTACCATGGAAACTCTGGCATCTATTTTGTCTCATAGGGAGTGTCACTGTACACTTTCAAAATCTCCCTTTCTTTTTTTTTAAGGTCCTTTCAACATGGAGAATATATTTCCTGGCTCCAAAGATTCCAGCTAAGGTACAGATTATGCATTACAGTGAGAGGCTTTTCTTTTTTCCCAGTGCCTGTAGAAATCACTTTCCTTTTCAACTTTGTCTTTGACTTTTACAACAGGTGGAAACCACATTTAATTTCTTGGAGATCCGAGCTTTGAATTCTCACCCTGAACACCAGGTGAATTTTCTCGCAGTGGTTGCATCTGCATGCACGTCTCCCTGTAACAGTTGTGTGGTTGCGTAATGGAGCTATTACATCATTTATTCCTCCAAGGCTGGGCAAAAGAGAGTAAAGCCAGGGCTTCGAGGGGAATTTTTTTCTGTTGTGCATAGGAACTTTTCACTTTTACCTGCTCCGCACTTTTTTACTCGAGCATTTTCTTGCAATAATAATGAAAACTGCTAGACAGGATGTTCGTCATTTATTAGTTAATATTCTACCCATTCCTCGACCCCCTGCTTTGAGTCCTTGCGCCTTGATTTTAGGCGCGGCTCAAGAGCTGGTACAACATCCAAGCAGCTGTTTGTAAAGAAGTTCTGCAGGGCTTTGCACCGTGTGAAGTGTGTTGAAAGTTTTCTTTTTTAAATTTCTCTTGCAAAATGTAAGAAATAATGTTAAAAAAAAGCTCTGCTTATGTAAAGACATACATAGCGGAGAGTAGAGCATGAAAACTTTTTAATGTAGGAGGCTAGAGATTATGAATGTCTAAGGGGCTGCAGGGGAAAAAGAAGCAAATCAAAACTACAGATCTGAACGAGTTATCGGCTTCCAGGCCTGGATGATGGTATATTTACAGCCCTGCTTCTTAATGGGACTAGACTATTTCCTACTTACCTTAATGGGACTAGACCACTTCCCTCCCTGACCGTTTTTTTTTTTCCTCCCATGCCATCTCTTATATCTTTTGTGCAGGTTATCATCGACACTGACAAATCCAGCTTCTCCCTGAGGTTCGAGTCACGTGACCACCTCAACCATGTGGTCAACCACATTAATTTCACCCTCTCCCGCATATTCAACAACTCGGTTTTTGCGTAAGTGTCACCGTCTCGCCGGGTTGAAATCTGAATACATTTTCAATGTCTGTGAAGTGTGGGATAAACGGAGAGTTTAAAAGAAGGCTGACCTTTATTGGCTCGTTCATCAAAAGACAGACGATTGCTTACAGGATCTGTGTTTCCTTTATGTTGGCAGCCCATCTATCTGTCACTCAGACAGTGACCTTTCAGAGGGCAGCAGGAAGTATTCACCGAGCTCAGAGACTTCAGTGGAAACACAGAGGGCCTGTGGTAAAGAGATGTTATCATGAAATATGGGAATTTGCACACAGGCATATGTTAAAAAAAACAGTGATATGTGCATATGTACGCTTTGGAGTCTCAAGAGGAAGTTGGCATGCATACATAACAAATGGTCTCCCAGATGTTCTCTGGAGCAGTCATGTGTGCATTTTCCTCACTTTTCTCTCCGTTTTCTGTAGTGTGTGGCAGCAGCTGCTAACATCTAGCGCTCCCCTTTTTTCTTTTGTCCTTTCTTTCTCCCGCCTGCGTCTCTCAGGAGGCTTCTCAGAGACCTACGCCGCTCTCTGTGACTATAATGGCATCAGCTGCAAGGAGGAAGTGCAGTGGGTAAGAGCTGTGGGACTGTGCCTGTGCCACGGGGAGGGCTTTTAGCGTTCCATTCTGTACGGCACCGTGGCCATACACAGAAAACAGGGAACAGGCTCATGGGTTCTGTTGGTCTTAGGATGTGGACACCATCTACCACTCCCAGGAAAACCGAGAGTTTAACCTATTGGACTTCAGCCACCTAGAGAGCAGGTGAGGGACAAGGAAATGTTAAACACCTTCCTTTACTAAATGTCCTATTTAATTACGTCTCCTCTTTTTAAGGGATTTGGCAGTGATTGTTGCATCAATGGCCTACAACACCTGGTTCACCAAGCTCTACTGCAAAGATCTTCGCATCGTGAGTAGAAAATGTCCCTGTTACACTGTGCTCTGTTTACAATGAATCACTGAATGGCTTTAAGCCTCCAAACGTCAGGAGAGGTTTGTTTTTACACGTGTCCTGTTTTCTGTAACAGGGGTCAGAGGTCACTGAGCAGGTCCTGCACACAATCAGCAAGTCCTCAAGCCTGGAGGAGATTACCCTGGAAAACGCTGGCTTAAAATCGTGAGTTTTAATTAGAATGAACTCTGCCGTGACTCTGTCTGCTCTATTCCAGCTTTTAGTAGAAGGTTTGTGGTATAAAGTTGAGGTGTGGGGGGCCCCATGTTCAGGTAACAACACAAAAAAAACATTTGAAAAAAAGAAAATATGACAATTTAATGTTAAAATTCAACTTTAAATTCAGGACATTGAAGTGGATAACAGGCCCTTAGCAAAGGGCAGTAATGCAACAAAGAAAATGTTAATAAAAATGTGTTGCCCGTTCTTGTTAGTTGGGTATATTTGTGTCACAGGCAAAAGAGGAAACTCAGAGATTTCATCTTGAGCAGTAAAGGTTTCTTCAATACATTTAATCATGGATGTAGAGAGTGAATAAACGGAACAAATAGCGAATAGTTACTCAAATGTAGCCTTGCATTATCTGCCTTTGTATGTACAGAGATTTTCCACAGAAGATGTCAGCAGCTCTTTCAGAGAACCCAGCCTCGGTCATTCACTCTCTCAACTTGGCCCACAACTCACTGGACAACCAAGGTATCAACAGACACTTCTGTCTTTGTTTGTCAAATTGCTTTTTTTATTATAACTGATGAAGGTTAAATGATGAATGACTTAAAGAGCTTTTTTTTTTTGTTGTTAGAGGTTTTTCAAGTTTTTCAAAGGAGTTAAAAAAAAAAATTATTTGAGTCAAAGTGAATGTAGGAAGTATCTCATATGATATAGAAAGAATTATTGAATGCTTCTCATGTCTTCGAAGAGGTAGGTACATTTGTTGTTTGGGACAAGGCAAAGCTTTTTTTTAGATATTTGATATATTTAGTTTTTTTATCTTTGCAACCTGCAGGTGTGTCCAACTTAATCCAGCAGGTGTGCCGCCTCAACAAAGGACTTCGCCTCCTCAACCTGTCCAAGACATCCCTCACTTCAAAGGGTTTGTACTCCTTGCTTTACCTCCATCCGTTGAGACATGCTGAGTGTGAGCACAGTCTGCATGATCTAGCCAAAGACCAGCCAAAAAATGAGCTGATTCACTGGTAGGTCTCTCAGCTCTGATTAGTTCACGCTGTGGATTTAGGGGACTTAATACGTCTAGATTTGCAGATAATTCCCCCTTCTGAGAGAGATGTTTCATATTTTGCATTGGCTCATGATGTCTGGCGTTGCCTTGCATGCTGTGAGCCTGGTTACTGTCTCATCTTACTTTAGTGCCCAGAGGAGAATGTAAATATTACATTAAACTGCACTGCCTCCCAGAACACCACCGATACCTGCAGCTCCAAGGTCCATTACGAAGACAAAATTGTTTGAGAGTATGCCCGGTCTCTTAGTATGTATTCCTCTTTCTGGTCGCATTATTTCTCTCTTTCCCATCTGCACCCCTGTCCTGCATGTGTCTCTGTCTTCTGCACAGGCGTGGTGTCGCTCTCTCAGGCTTTGTGCTCCAGCGACGAATACTCCAGCTCCCTCCTGCACCTGGACCTGAGCAAGAACCCCGGCGTCCTCTCTGGGGAGGATGCTTCGGTCAGACAGCACGATCCATCTGGAGACCGCAAATCCCACTTTGTTCCATTTTGATGCCTCGTCTCCAGCCTAATGTGATGCTTCTGTTCCTCTGGCTTTTTGTTTGCAGAACTTGTATCTCTTTCTGTCTCAGCCAAACTGCCTGGTCCACTTGGATCTGTCAGGCACGGACTGCTCTGTCGATTCTGTTAGTATTAATGGCTGCTTTCCATCAAACATTGATGTGTTTTCTGAAAAGGAAAATACATTTCTCTCTGTGCGTGTCTCAGCAAGGGTTAACTGTTTCCACCCTTTGTCCGATGCAGCTATTTGGGGCTCTTCTGAGAGGGTGTTGTGCTGATCTTTCCTTTCTGAATCTTTCCAAAAATACCTTCTCTCACAGGTTAGTCGCGTCCCCAGAATTACATAAGCAATAATGACAGCTCTAGATCTGAAATCGGAAGATACGATTCATCATAAAGCCCTTGTCTTGTCTATCTGTGCATCTTAGTTATGCCTTCATTACAATTTCATCATTTTATTCATCTTCTGCTTAATAGGACATCAAAAATGATCTTAGAGGGAATCACTGGAACGTTGTGCTTGCTCTCTGTGGGCACGTCTGCTGTTTATACTCAAAGCGCTCTTGATGCTGTCTGCATTGATAAGATTCATGAATATTTAAGTGGAGCTATCTATCATCCGACCCCGCTTGCCCCCCTCTCTTACGTCAAAAACTGCATTCCTCATTCTGTGTCAGTACGCTGACTCCCTCATTCATATTTTCCTTGCATGAAAACAGCGTGACTCCATCTTCTATGTGTTGACGGGGTGCAGCCCGTCTTCCCTCCCGGTGTCACGCCTATCACATTTCACCTTGCTGGTTCACTCATGTCTATCCCTCTTTGATCTTTTTTTTTCTTTTTCTTAAATGAAACAGGAAAGTGAAGGATACGTTGCCGTTGTTCCGTCAGTTTTTCAGCTCGGCCTTCAGCCTCACTCATGTCAGCCTGGCCTCTATGAAGCTACCCCCTGATGTTCTGAGGTATCTGCTATGTCACATTTGATTTTTCAGGCGAACTGTGCTCTCTTTTTTTATTCAGCTCTTTGGCAGTGAAAGCAGTGATGAAACACAGGGATATGTTCCTTTCCGCCTTTATTACCTGCCCATATTTCTCCTGTGTCCACAGGGCTCTTTTGATGGGGTTAACCTCCAATCCTCATATCAATGATCTTCATCTGGACATCAGCAGCTGTGAGGTAAGAACTCATAAACACAATCTACCGAGGATCCCAAAGTCAGTACAGGGCAGAGCTTAAGAGTTATATTATCAGAGGAGCAGCTTTAGTGTTTCTTTGCAGGAGGGGCACAAGCTGGTCCTGTAGCGAGTGGCAGGAGGAGCTGAGTCAGAAACAATCCATCAGAATAATTGTTAGTTTTTGTGTTGTATGCATCATTTTGAGCCGTTCTGTGTCCTAAAAGAAAAATATAAAAAATAAAGCTGACATAATATGACAAACGGTTTATTTATTAATCAGATTTTAATTTGAAACCCTAGCTTTGGATCTAAAATCAGTCTTCCAATGGCCAGAAGGGTGTATAATACTGAGCTAACAGTGTAGCATAACATGTTCTGCTGCTGAGGACATTTCCCACACAGAGCAAAGTTCACAATTCAGGCAGTCTGCAGTGGCATAAAAAGGCATCCATAAATTCGCCCCACTGCAGAGGAATAGAAGGCCCTAAGGCCGAGGCTAAAAGCCACTCTAATTCATGCCTGTGCATTTGTTGGTTTACCCCTCTTTCTCTCTGCAGCTCAGGTCTGCAGGAGGTGCTGTAATCCAGGAGCTCTTCCCCAGAGTCTCCTCCATTGCCACTCTGGACATCACCGATAACGGTACCGGGACACACACCGCAACACACACCGCAACACATCCCACCGTGACCTTGACTGTTTGTGCTGTGGTTGGAGAAGATTAAGTGAGATTCTCATGGAGTCCCATATGTGCATCTGTTTTGACAGGTCTCGATGAGGACTTGCTCACAGTGCTGCCGGCCATCTCCAGGCACCCCTCACTAAAACACCTTCATCTGGGCAAAAACTTCAACATCAAAAACAGGTGCTGCCAGTGGTCCATGTCATGCTGAACTGTAGTGAATCATGGGTGTAGTGTGTGTGTGAGGGCTCATGGACTTAAGCTGGCATGTTCTGCATGTGCCACATCCAGTGATTTTACTTGTTTACTGTAAACAGCTTGCAAGCACTCTTTCCTGCTTATCCAACCACTCCACTGTGGTTTGTCCTCACGGTTTGTGTCCACAGGGTCCTGGATGAAGTCTTGCAGAAGCTTGTTCAACTCATACAGGAAGAGGAATGTGTGAGTGGTAACACTGGAAAAGGCCCCACTGATGTCATGTAACTTTGTGTGATTTGGTTTAGGTCAGTTATTCATTCATTATTGAAAAACAAGTTTGGCAAAAGCAAAATCATATTATTTCACCATCAAGTTAAAACAGCGATCCGAATTTGAAAAAGCATAATTTTTTCAGTATGTTTCACTTCAGATGTGTCGTTCCGATGAATTATTTCTGAGCAGGAACAGTTTCCACATCACCACTCGCATACATTGTAAATAATTGAAGCACGTGGCATGTTAAGTCATGTTGGCACATCACTGTGCAGTAAATTCCACCACTGCACTTTATCATCTAAGCCTCTCCATCTGCCGTTTTCGCACACACGCACAATCTCTCCCAATTTTTTTCATTGGTTTGTTTCTCCTGCCTCGCCAGGCCCTGCAGACCCTGTCCCTGTCCGACTCGCGCCTGCGCTCCCGGGGCACGGTGCTGGTCAACGCCCTGGGCAGCAACACCTGCCTGAGAAAGGTAGACCTGAGCGGGAACAACATGGACGACATCGGGGCCAAGATGCTCAGCAAAGCCCTGCAGATCAACACCACGCTCAGGTTGAAGCACACTTAATGCGGAGGAGGCTGTGTGTGCGGTGGAGATCAGTATTTTGAGCGGCTCACAACCTTTTCCCCGCAGGAGTGTGACATGGGATCGCAACAACACCTCTGCATCAGGGTTTCTCGATGTGGCCCGGGCCCTTGAACAGTAAGAGCCCTTTAACACGGCGTGTTTTCGTATTGATGTGTGTTGCTGTGTGTTAAATAGTGGACATGTTCAGTGATCTGTGGGATTAATGAGAAACTGGGTCCTTTCTTTTTACAAACCTCATTTAAAGGTAGATTGTGCGTAGAGCAGATTGTGTCCTTTTTTTGCTATCTGAAATGGTCCAGACTGCGCTTAAGGGTAAGGATGACATGGTTGCTGAGATCAAAGTGTTACTCATTAGTTGGATAGCTGGGGAATATTTTTAGAATATGCTCTCTGCTGTGGCAGGTGTTCAGCCTTTACTTACCCAGGAATCTGTAGCCCACTTTGATTTTTTTTCTTTTTTACTCCTTTACCATCTCTTATAATAATTCCACCTTTCCCTCGTCTTCTGCTCTGTCTTCTCATAGTAATTTCACCTTGCAGTACATGCCTCTGCCCCTAAGTGACATCAGCCAAGCATACCGCAGCGCCCCAGAGAAGACAGAACAAGCTCTGACAAAGGTTGGCATCAGGGTTAATAGGTCTGTCATGGAGATTTACTGAAAAATTCACCATTCACAGATTAAATTAAGTCTCTGGCTGCATACGTGAGAGTGAATGAGACATTTATCTCTGAGCTCTTAGTCAAATGTCACAGATCCTGACTTTAAGGGACCTTTTTTTTTCTCCACATGAATATCCCGGTGATGGAAATAAATCCGAACAGTTCCACACTGGCAAAATTGTTTAGTTCAACAAAAGCAAATCCTTTTCTTAAGCTCAAAGTGTCTTAGAATGAATTAAAGACAGCTTAAAGAAGCTTACATGTTGAATACACCAGGTACAAGCACCTGCCATTTAAAGCTTCTTAGCACTATTAAATATGCTAACTTTACCATCATTTATTCACTTTTTCATAAGAAAACACTGAGACTGAGAGCAAAATCTAAAAAAATTGGCTTTCAAGTTGTGTAAGATACAAATTTTTGGTTTTAGCAGTTTTCTAACTAATACATTTACTTCTATTTAGACACATTCCATTTTGAAAGTTTTTGCGCCAAAATAATTAATTTTTTTTGTGTTTTACTTTAGTTTTACTTCCTTCTAATTAATTAAACAACTTACATCTAATATATTGTAACAGAATATGTAATAATAGGTTTTTTAAGAGATGGAAAGGAAGATCCATCATCTTAGCCCAAGCAGTGCATGAAATAAAATAAATGAGCTCCCCCTCTCTGAATGCTCTTAGATCCAGCGTGCTCTGGTGAGGAACAACCAGACCCAGCGCTTCTCCCAGAGACAGGCTTTACGCCTGCACCAGGGCCTGGTGACCAGCACGGCCGAACAGGTAGAGCTCATCCTCGTGCATGTTTTTCTTTGTATCTGAGCGTTTTTGTTCCCCCATAACGCTCGGCCGCCTGCTTGTTTCCAAGGTGATGGAGCGCCTCTGTGTGCGCGTCCAGCAGCAGGTGTGCTTGCTGAGGGGCGTTGGAGAAATGGAGGAGATTCAAGCGGCGAAGCAAGTGCTGAAGGAGGCCAGAAACTCCCGGGCTGTGAGTGACGTTTAACGTTAGCCGCGAACATGGCCTTCGGTGCCTTAAATTTGAATGACAAATGGTCTCTGGTGTGTGCCAAGCTGTACCCGTCGCTGTGCGAACTGGCCCACGTGCTGTCGGTGGACGGGCCGGTGCGGCAGAAGCTGGACTCTCTGGCGGGCGAACTGGCCAAAGCTGCCGACAAGGAGTTGCAGGTACACCCAGCCCCCCCCCCCCCACCCCCCACCCCGCTCTAGCAGCAGCGCCAATCCGCGCCTGGTGACGGAGTCACTGATAACTTCCGCCTTTTCCAGGTGATCGTCGACTCAATGGTGTCTCTCTGTCGCGAGCTCTGCCCTTTATCTTCTTCTGCAGCCGAGAGGTTAAGTCCCTCCCTCTCGTCCGTCTCCGAGCGGGTGTCCATCCCTCGCTCCGCCATCCGCACGGCCCTCATGGAACGAGCGGCACAGGACATTCACAGAGCTTTGGAGTGAGCCCAAACAGCAACAATAAGTCTGAATTAGATAAGAAGGGTATCGATTTGCGCCCGTTTTTGCTAAGCTCATTTTGCTCTTCCCGCTCGTCCCCCACCCCCTCCTCTCTTTTCCCATAACCCGATCTTCTCCAGAGAAGTTAAGCTGTCCGTGGTTTCCTATCTCACCAACTCCATCGTGGACCAAATCCTGCAGGTTCTCTACTCCACCCACAAGACGCTGGTAAACACAAAACCATGTTACCGTGAGGATGTGTGAGAGAGGCAGAGATGGAGCGAGTGGCATTAAGAGTGCCGTGTGTCTCTCAGACCCGGCAGGTGTCGCACCTGAAATGCTGGGAGGCGACGTGCGAAGACGGCACGGCCTGGAGGTTCAACAGACACAGAGACTCTCTGGACATCACGGACGAGGAGCTGGGCACCAGCATAGTGAGTGCGGACACACACTGGCATGCACTCGAGTGTGTTACTTTGTCCTCATGCCCCAACATGCACCTTTACATTTCTATTACTGGATTTATTTTTGAGCCCGCCGCCTGTCTGAGTCCTGATAAAAGCATTCCGGTCCCAGACACGGCAGCGCTCAGGTCCTCCCGTGTTATTAGGAGCTTAATGACTGCTGTAAATTGACAGGAAGGGCACAAAGCCTGTGCAGTCAGGTTCTCTGATACTGTCAGGTGAGTTTCTCTTCACACAGTTGAACTCCTTGAGAGTTTAAGTCCATTCATCTCTTCTTCTTTTTTTCCCTTTTTTTTTTGCTGCTGGCAAAGAAGCCTTTGGGAGGCTTTCTTGCCAGCAGCCAAATGTAGTTCAAAGAGATTTAAAGTATTGTGCGCTGATATAACATTATGTCTTTAAAAACCCACTAAGAAATGTTTTTTCAAAAAGGCTAAAGTCAGAGGATTTTTTTTTGCCTTCAGCATTTGTTTAGTCTCTGTCAGCTTTACTCTATCATTTTAGTTGTGCAGACATTAAGCTTGATCGTTTTTTTTCTCTAGCACTCGGAGGTGGTTCTGTCTTTAGCATATATTCATCTAACACCACCATCTCGGGTCATGTTCCCACCGCTGGTCAAAGTATTACTGCTTATCAAACCGCTGGCTCAAACTTGACGGAAGTGTTAGGAACGACAGTTTGTCCCCCTGGGTTTTAACGTCTGAAATGCTATTCTGACTTCCGTGACAGGAGCACTGCAGTTAAAGGTCAGAAATTTTGAGTGTCCAGCTTCTTCCACTGGAGACACTTTAACAATGCTTGAATTGATGACGTAGAGTCCAGTCAATTGTGGCTTGGCCTTTAGGAGCTTGCGCTGATTGTAGTGATTGAAGGACAGCGTTGAATGTCAACATTTCAAAAAGCCTATAATTACGACCCGGGAAGCCCAACTGACAGGAATCAAGTGGTTGAAATACGCAATGCCCACTTTGGAATTACTGAGCGTCTCATATGTGGTGTGTGTGATGATAAGTGTAACAGATACAAGCTGCCGGCGCTTGACAACGTTTCCATTGTCATATGAGGGTTTTGGAAAGTTTGCCAGTGATTTTACTCATAATTTGTGCCGTGGCGTGGAATTTCTAGTAGGACTTAAAAGATTGAACTATTTTTCCTTTTGTAGGAAGCAGAAACAGTTTTCTCCAGTTTGTTCATAGCTGTGGGAAATTTCTACATTAGCTCATTATTATGAATAAAAGCCTTTTTCCCCCTCAGTTACAGTTCAGTGAACCTTCTTTTCCGTGTTTTTGACACTCCAACTGTTCTTTACCGTTATTGAAAATGAGAAAAAAATTACCGATGCGATTTTATCGGGTCGTGCTCCAGGAGGCGGTGCACACCTGAAAATGGTAAATCTCACTTGACATATTAAAAGAACAGCTCAATATTTACAAGGCATTATGCTTTGAGCCTGTAACGTATTTCATCGCAATCAATTCAGCCATTAGCCCAACAGAGACCTCTCGCCTTGATGTCTTTCTCTAAATCCTATAAGGAATTTGAAGTCTTTTTTTTGTAAAGAGTAAGAATCAGCACATTCAACAGTTCCTTTTCTGTATACGACTGATGTAAATGAGTGTATGCCAACATATAAGAAAAGTTTAGAATTTTCTTTAAATATGTAAATGCTTTAATCTGTTATCCACACATTACATTTTTATTGATATAATGGTGAAACTTCAATAGAGCGAGTGTCATTTAAACAATTTAAAGATCTTTGAGGGCTTCCTAAAGTAGGTCTTGGTTGTGGTAGCAACCTAGTAAAACTATGCATGGGATGCTGACCTGGTCCCGGTTTTGTTTTGTTCATATTTTATGCAATTACATTTTATAGTACTTAGTTATAAAGGTATAAACACCTTATGTGCCTGTGTTTATGAATGACTCAATGGTATGTGTTCATTACAAAAACCTAAAAGTCTTATGTGCTTCTTTAAATCTGCAGACTTCTTTTCTAACCTCAGCTTCCATTTGTTTCCACTGTTCATCTTTTTTCAATTTCCCATTTTGTTCCTGTTATTCCGATTCTGTCAAATGTCTGTTTTTATGTGCACACTCAACATGGCTTTATTTAGTTCCTTGATTTGATCATTTTCCACTGGCAAAAGCACTGATTGCACTGCTGGAGCAGCATGCGTGTTTCTACTCATCAGCTTCTAAACCCTATTTCTGAATGTTTTTTTTTCCTCCCAGGACACAATTGCCATTAAGAAGCGCAGCTCTAGAACAAGAAGAATACGACCAGTCTCCACCAGGCTGAGTGAGTACTGCTGTAATTCCTCCACTTTCACATCTGTTAAGTCTCACTCTGACCCCATGCCATCTCTCCAACATGTCCATTACTTTGTTTACTGCTGAGTCTTTTTTTCCCCTTCTCTTTATCCGTAGAAGTCTTTTAATGGGTCTATCAATCCACCTGGATTGACTCTATCTTCTGGTAGTCAACGACAGATGTCAATTTAATGACCTTTTTGAGCAGAAATCAAGGCTCCCTTTAAGCCTCTCTTTTGTCTTTGTGACAACTTCTCCCACATTCCCACACCAGATCTCCTGTAACTCTTCTATCGTTCTTTGCTGCCACCAGGCCTATGTGACGACTCCAGCTCGTCTCCACCACCGTCCGTCCCGTCGTACTCATCACCGCTCTCCCGCTCGGCTTCCTGGGAAGGCCTGTCGGATCTGCCCACGCAGGGCCTCCCTCTCCATCATGTGACGCGGGTTCGGCCCAGGCCTCCACGGAGGCACAAAGGAGGGCACATCCCTGCCGAGCCAGTACGGCCTAGCTCATCTTCTTAGCACGCAGTGAATCATATTATGATGTATTCCAGTCTACATTACCTGTACGCCAATCTGAACCTATTTATCTCTCCATCTATCTGCGCATAATCCTCATATTTCCCTAATGTTTCTGCCCGCTGGCACCGACCGCTTTTTTGTCAACCGTAATCTATATAAAGCGAATGACTGCAATTGCATTACGCTGTCTCTGTGACCGGTGTATAATCCATTTGTCTTATTGCATAGCATTTTGCAAATGGAGACCCGCTTAACTGACCTCTCTGAAAGGCTTATTTGCCTCTCTCTGTGTGTACAGAACTGCAGTGAAAATGGAGGAATAAGCCCTCTGGATGACGGACTCCCAGACTTTTTCACAAAAAGAGTTCTGCCTGATAGGTAAGAGCCTATTTTAGGATTCTACACAACCTACTCTCTTTTGTTACAAGTGTATGTGCTCGCATCCAAACACACTCAAATATAAATGCATGACCTGTGGATTTTATTCACTCAAATTGATGGCGAAACAACACAAAGCACACAAAAGACAAAGCAAAAAGATTTGAGGGAATACACAAATACAAGTGTAAGGCAGTCGTGGGTCTCCATAGAATGATCAAACTGTCTTGCAGGTTGTACGTGTTCGATGTGCTCTTATTAACGTGGTAGCACATAATTATCTTTGTTATTGCTCAGAGTATTCTTTTACCACCCAATAGTTTCATACTGGTTTTATTCCTGTCTGTTTTGGAGTTATTGAGCATTATATAACTTCTCTGAAGTTCAGCCTTTGCAGTGTCCTTACTTTTAGTCTGTCAGCAAGTTTCTCAAAGTTCATGCCTAGTTCTCGTCTGACTGCTCTGTGACTGTTTCTGCATTTGGATCATCCTCTAGCCCCACATTGTGACATTCCCAGCACAGCATTTAATTTAATAGGCAGAAACATTTCCAAACTATAGTTTATTTGATAATCCCCCCAAACGGCTATCGAGTAATCCCACCCACACAATCAAAAGCCAACTCACTCAAGTTCTTTTAAAGAATGAAAACAGTGATCTTTATCTCACTGGCTGGTTGAATATGTTTGGAGGGTTTGGTGACACATCATCTTTGGTCATTTGGTGAGCGCATACCAGTGATCAAAGGACTCTGAGCTTTGCATGCATGTAAGAACACTACTTTACGGCTTAATGTCGCCAGCAATTGGTTATGTTTTGAATTTATATCAATTTAATGCCTCAGATGAAAGAATAAAAGCAAATTCAATGCAGAACTCTGAGTCTGATATGTAAATTGAGAAGTTGTGTAATCCTTTCTTGGTGGCTGAGCTGAAAATAGGCTCAGGGAAAAAGTGTGTCAGAACAATGTCATCTTCTTTCACCCTCCAGCTCATCAGTGCATTCGTTATGCTTGTTAAAAGAAAAGTTTGCTTACTTACTATTTATCATTGTGTACTAAGAGATGTATCCTAGCAACGCTCAATTTTGCAGCAGTTCAGTTGATGAACAAGAGGCCCAGATGGCTGTGATGAATTCAGAAGCATGCTAACAGAAGGACAGAAGGAGCTTGTGTGTTTTTGCACATGGTGATTGTGCCTAACTGGCCTCTGTGTGCGTGTGACATTGGACTCCTCTCACCTCTCGCAGTCAGCTGTCCTCGCTGCACAAAGTGCACTCTCTGAGGAGGAAGAAGAGGAGAAACATGCTGGCCATCTTCGGTTTCCGCAAGAACCGCAGCCAAACTCTGTCCAATCAGGGCCCCGAGTCTGACGCAGAGGTCTATGGAGATGGATGTCACACTGTTGCTACAGCACCCACAGGGTTAGTGCTTAAAGCAAGACACGCATAGCTCACTCTTCGTTGACAAATGGCCTTGAACATATAACGCTCTGAATTTCACAAATCAACTCAACAACTCAATGCATTTTTCTCCCACGTTCTCATCTCATATTCATATTTTCAGAGGTCTGGTTTACTATTTCAATTCTATTTGATGTGAACTTGCTAAATAATCAATAACCCTAAGTCTCCCCCTTTTCTTTGTTGATAAGAGAAATGGCTGATACCTGCCAAGGCAGAGACCAACTGCTTAGTGCGTATAGTACTGGTACTGATGACAGATAGTGGCTTTGTTCTGCATCCTAAAGTCAACCAAGTGATTCCAAATGAACAAACTTTATGTAAAAAACAGATCGGGATTGTAAGACATTAGATTTATTCCACTTCCTTATTGCCGATATCTAAGGCATTGTCCCATTAGAGGTGTATTTATATATTTTCCAATGTGTGGATTAAATTAACAGACCCTGGGGTATATTTCCACTTTTAGGACAGCAATGGAGAATGTGTACACATTTCTCCAGCCACCACGACCGAACGTCAGAGTCGGATCGCTCGGCGATGGGGCTGATGGGAAGATGAACGATCACCAGGGGAAAAGTACTCTGGCTCTTAGTCCGCCGGCGGTGCCAGGTATCCCTCACCCAGGGGTAGGAGGAGGAGGCAAGCACCCCTTTTATGCTCCCAGAGAGGTACGGTCTGTCTGATCCGCTGATGTTACAGAATTTCCAATGAAACTTTGCTATTTTCAGCCCATTTCGCCTCTTTGCTTCGTTTTTTTTGTTGTCAGATCTCTGAGGTGGATGCTGTGTTTGAACTGCCGGAGGAGGCAGACAAGTACTGGGCGGACGACAAACAGAGGACAACGGATGTGCTGCAGGCAGACAAGGAGTGGATAGCTCAGGGACGCACAAGCGACCCACATGCAGAGAGGCTGCGGCCTGACGACAGGCCACAGGAAAGAACTTTCGGAGAGCCGAGAATGACCGACAGGCCCTCTGACAGGTACTGGACTGAGAGCAGGCATCCAGACAGACACCTGGAGAGACAGTGGACCGTGGACAGACACACCCAGCGGCAGATTGACCGAAAAATGGAAAGGCAGTGGATGGGCGGAAGGCAGATTGAGAGATCCTGGTCAGAGAACAGGCCGGTGGACATCCAGTTAGACAGTCAGTGGGCTGAGAGCAGGCATCCAGGGAGGAAGATGGACAGACAAGCCCAGGGTCTCCAGGTAGCTCAAAGGCCTCTGCCGCCATACCCATCGGAGAGGACGCCCTCGCCCAAGCAGGACGCCGATCCTTCAAAAAGCACAGAGGCGGCCGCCATAGAATGGCATCTGCAGGACGCACAGGGAGACAGGCACGCGTGCTCCGATGCCAGCGGAGGTTCCACAGAGGGCTGGAGGAGCAGCAGCGGCCGGGCGGCTCCCTGCGCATCCAAACCCGACCCCCCGCCTCAAAGCAGTAAACCCAACCTCTCCAAGCTGAGGCCCAGACATCGACGAGAGAGCTCCGACACCCTGCCAGGTACTACGGGGGGGAATTCCACGTTAATGAGCCGAAGAATAGGTTTGCATGCACGCCTCCTGCCTTAAGGCGGAATCCCAATCAATTGGTTTTCATCTCTCGGTACAGAGGAGGAAGGAGATGAAGAGAAAGACCCCGGAAAGATGGAGTGGAGAGAGAGAGAGAAAAGACGAGATTCTGAAGGTCAACCTCCCCCGATCCCTGAAAAGGTGGCATTTGCTAAGCATATTTCTTTCTAAACCTATAGAATTCCATGCATCTTGCGTTCTATTCTTGCTTAGAGTTCTTTGATCTTTACTACTGATTTAACAAATGGGTGTTGACAAAAATAAAGTGTTTCAAATATCAATTTACGTCTGAGTGAAAGCTGCCGACATTTGATCATTTTGCTTAAATCTAGAGAAGGTTTACAAAACCACTAATGTTGCCTTTGTAATTGTGAGGTTTTAATAATTTTCTTGCTGTTCTGATGTGTCACCTAGCCAAAGACCACCTCTTATGTGACCTTTCCAAAAGAATCACCTAATGAGAGGAACTTACCTCCTCCTCCTGTGCCACCTCCTGTCAACAGGCCTATACATGGGTTGCCAGACCGTGCTGCAAGCCAAGGTACCTTAAGTAAAAAAAAAAAAAGAGTTAACAGATAAAGCCAACTGGTTTACAATCTAAATCTGAAGAACATAAGAGACACTTAAGAAATACTTTGTCTAACTGTTACTAAAGATGCTTTATAACTCATGTTCAGGTGAAGAAGGACTGAGATCTCAGGCACCAGTAAAACCACAGAGGAACAGAAAGGCCATGTCCTGTGATGCAGGTACAACAACATCCTTTCTCAGCAGGCTGCTGCAGCAGGACCCCATTTTCCAAAAGTAAAAGGCAGTTAAACACAATGTTTATAAGATGTTTTTATGGGATTCAAATGTTTGCTAATCATAAGACACTAGGTTTGGAACCAAATAAACTCCCAAATAGTTAATCACACAAATACATGTCAAATGTTGCCATTTTGATTTTTTTTTTATGTATATCTTATTTTCATTTCAGCTAACAGCCTGAAAATATTTATGTGCAAACATTTTTGGAGATGGGGTTGTGCACACATTTGTGAACTGAACTGGCTGTATTGTTGATCTGTGTGTGAAGCGTCTGCATTTAATTGTTAATCTGTGCTTCCTGTCCTCACTGAACTCAGGCACTGAAAGGGAAAGCCCTAATAACGTTGAGAAGCCCCCAAATCGCAAACCTCCCGTGAAAAAACCTAGGCTACCACAAAACAGAAATAAGTCTCTGGACTTGTCTGGTACACGTTTCTCTGTTTCTATGTGTGTGTGTGTGTGTGTGTGTGTGTGTTAGAAATGTTTTTAAATGTGAGTCATACGGTAGTAGAATATGACTGTATTGCTGTGAAAGTTGTAACTGAATAGTTGCCGTGTTTACAGCTCACAGCAGATCAGATTTAAGTCCCGATCAAACCGGCCTAACTTTTTCTTTGTTTCTGGCCATGGCTTTGTTTCATCCTGCAGACAGTTTCAACTCAGCGCCCGGTCACAGCGAGCTGTTGTGATGACCTCATCTGCCACCGTCAGACCAGACCTGTCATGATAATTGTGGAGAACTCCATTTAAAAAGGAAAACGAAGAGCACAGAGGGAAGAGTCGGGGGGGGGACGCGTCCACATGGCAGACACCATGAGACACCGCTCACCTGTTTCCTTCAAACTCTCGCCTACATCCCCGAAAAGTTTTACTGTCTTCGTCCCTCCCACCCCCCCTCACGTGAAAACTTCTGTCGTGGCTACGGTATTTTGAAAGTATTTGCTACTTTAGAAAACTCATGTGACCATCGTTGTGTGTGTTGGTGGACTCCAGGCCAAGTGATTGAGCGTCGTGGCTTTGCTAGGCAGAAGAAAAAGTGTCTTTGTTAGAGTGTGATTTCTTAAATCTGCAACGCTTTTGAACGCCGGTACAGTCACAGCCCTGACTGACACTTGAAAATTAGTTGCTTCTTATTAAATGAAACTTGATGATTTATATCTAGTTTTGCTTTCAGGAACTGAAGGGTAATATATTTTATAGAGAAAATAAATATTATGTATGAGCACCCTCACTGTATAAATAAAACACATATAAAAATTTAAGAAACTTGACTTTTTGCCATATTTATGATATTTTGTCACAGTCAATACATTGTTGGTTTGATTTTCATGTGATTAATGTGAATTGAACCTGAGCAGACCAGAGTTTGGGCTCAGTGATCCAGCTTAGGCTTTTTAACCTTTGGATCTTGATTTTATTGCCCCAAGCAGGAATTATTCATTGGAAAAATCCATTAAAAAAACACTTTGTTCAGCACCAACCAGTAATGTCAGCAATTAGTCCAGACAATTTGCTGTTGTAACACACTGAGCAAAGACCAGGACTTTCAATCAAATGTGTATTGAGAACATAAACGGAGTTCAAACTGTCCTGATTTTCATCCGGTGGCCATTAACACCAGTCAATATTCCTCCTAATGTTGCATCTCAGGTCGATTTCATGGGAACTCTCTCTACTGGGCTTGTTTATTCTGCCCCCATTTGACGATAAAGTGCTATTGCATGCAGCTAATTGTTGGAAAAACTTGAAAACTGCCAATTGGTTATTCTCACACTTTGATCCAAAGAAAAAGAAATGTTAATCTACAAAAACAGATGTGCAACATACATCAAAATTGGCTTAGCATCCTTGATCACAGGTGGAAGTTACCCAGTCCCTTCAGAAACACCACCTCCAGTTGCCATGGCAACGTCTTCACCAGTCCAAGAGCATGGAACAGCAGGGGGCGACTGATCCCTACAGATGAGGCAATCGCTGGGCTTCTCATGGACACACACACACACACACACACACATACACACGACTTGAACCGAATGGCAGTCTCACAGGTTGTCATTAGCAACTGTGCTGTGACCTTCTTTTTATTTTTTTTTATAAATATGCTATAATGAGTCAGGTTCACGCAGAAAAATGCAGCTATGTAGAGAAAAAAAAACTCACAGTTTGCTGAAACAAAGACAAAGCATCTGTTTTCTTAACGAGCAAACATCCTTCGGGGAAATGATCATCTTAAAACATCTTAGGTTTGTCAGTTGAAATTAAGGGCTGTGTTTTCTGAAATGTTTATCAGGGAATTTCTGCATCTTACCAGAAAACTCCACAAAAAGTTTGGGGCTATCACAACTAACTAAATGTCCAGTATGAACTTAAATCAATCCAGTTGGTCACAAAAACTAAACAAAACGACAAAATATCAGGTATTTCTTAACAGATTTTTAGTATAGCTACGTAATTTTATATATTCAGGTCTCCATCATTGATATCATAATTTTCTTTTTCTTGATCCCGACCCACAGCTTTCCTTTGAGTTGTAAACCCACTGGAAGAATGTTTTCCACAGTCACCTGACATGTGAATCATACTGTCACATCACACCTATCCAGGCTAAACTTCCCTGTGTTCTTTGCGGCTGATGTGAAGATCCATCAGACGGCACGGGGGGCATATGAGCACGTCTTACTCTTCTCATCATTCTTGTGCTTGTTACCAGGCAACATGATCACATAAAAGCCAAGCAAAGGAGAGGAGAGGAGCCGGGGAGTGAGCGTGTGGGCAGACGAAAAAAGATGCATGAACATAAAAGGACGCAGGCAGCCCAAAGAAATGTGCAGGATTGTGCTCACACAATACCTCCGAGCCACCACAACACCATCACGCCTCTCCAAATGAACCCATAAGCTCCGCTTCACCTGAGTTGAAGGGGTTTCCAATCTCTGGGGTCTATTAGTTTGTGATTCAAAGGTGAAGAATAAAAATCGCATACGGTGCTCGTATTTAATTAAAACCTGCTCCGTGCTGTCAGAGTGGCAGTTACATGGAAAACGGCTCCTGAAATGAGGCGATAATAAGAAGCAGTATAATCTAATGAAATTACAACCATGTCTATAAAAGGTCATAAGTGAACTGTCTGGAAAGGTTGTCATGGGAACTGTCTCACTAACAGGCAGCAGGAGCAGTTGCTTTTAGAGTCCCCTTTCGGCCCTGATGGCAAAAATGGACTCACAGCGAGGCAATTTGGGATTTGTGACAACTTTTAAGTAAAAACAACACAAAACCTGCACAGACACCAGTTACAGCCTGTTAACATGATCCTGTTTTACTCAGTTACAAGCACCAGTAGCTCAGTCTTAAAGTCTCATTATAGTGAATAGGGTAATGTGCGAAGGGTCTTCTTTTGCACATTTTCTTTTTCCACAGTTTGAAATCATATTGGTAGAAAATTACCGTATACAAAAGTTGTCCAACATCCAAAGAAGAGCTTTTAAACATGGAGTTACTCCCAGAGACTATCAAAAGATGCTCCAAGAAAGCTTGTCTAAAGCTTTGTGTGAGGCTTCCAGCAACTCAAAGTCAATTAAAGTGTTCATACTTTGTATTTCCTTTTTAAACATTGTTCAAATTTATATTCATAGATTGAGAAAAGGAGAGGTGTTTAAACACTTTTGCAGTTTTGTAACTATACTTTCCCACAGCTATGAAGACAGAATGCTTTTCCCGAAAGAAAAAAAAAGTGTTGTTAAATCTGTTGGATCAATAAATTCGATTGACCTGTTTGTGTGACATTAAGAATGACAGTAAAAATATCCTAATCCGGCAAGGCGGGAGAGAAGAATCAGAGCGACTACGTGGGTAAGGAAGGAGGGAGGGAGGGAGGGGCGGAGAGGGGGAATGAATTAACAGATTTAGTGTCATCTCTCAGTCTGGGAGAGCGGCCAAAGTATCGACCACCTTAATCCGTTCATCCCTCTCTTCCTCCTCCTCATCCTCCCTGACCACAGCTCCATCTCCCTGTCTGCCGGCCCCCCCAGATTTCCATCCCCACTCATCTGTGATCATTCTTTTTTTTTTTTTGAAAGATTAAAGTGTCTAATACTTTGTGTTTGCTCGTATGATCAGTGTTGACATGAGATTGCGCTCTCGGCCACATTAAGCTGTCTGCTTTAGAGCCTTCCAGCTAAACATCTGCCATAAGAGAGGCTGCATGTGAGCCACACAAATAAAGTGGATGTTCCTCTGCTACGTAAAATAAAGTGAATAATAATTACAACACCTTGCATGTGACAGGCCTTCTAGCATCATGTGCATGAACAGTCACTATTTTCTATACAAATCATTTCCTAGTTCGTGACAAACCTCATTGGAGGATCATGATGTCACACTTAAGTGCTTGTGTTTACGTGCGGCAGCAGTGTTTAATTGGTAATCATCCAATCGATGATGATAAGAGCGTTTATTGATCTGAAGTGGGTATGAAAGGTGGAAACTGGGGTGGGTGAGGTAATAGCGGGAGTACTGACAGCTTATGTGTATCTTACAGACGGTTTATGCAGGCATGGGTATCCGTTAATCTGACACAAGTTTAAGGGGGAGAATCAGCGCTAATCCCATGACTAGCCTGATAAGTCCACTCACAATGAGACCCCACGTGTGGACAGCATAAGTAAACACACCCATGTGCAGGAATACACATGCAGACGCACAAACAACAAGGGCTAACAACAAAAAGCTTGAAATGTGAGATTTTGCAGCTACATGAGCTCAAAGTCTGACTTCATTGGAAAATTCTAATCTTAAAAGTTGAAATCATAGACCACGAGGACTCTAAATTATCATTAGTTGAGCATTGTTTTTTGAGAAGGGAAGGAAATAGAACACTTCAGAAAACTGAAATGACATGTTAGTCACATGCCATTTACAGCAAGCTACATTTTTTTTCTGAGTACAGGAAAGGAGAACATACAGCCATTAGGCATTCTGCTGATATTACAGTCATATTTCAAGTTGAAGGCAAAATTCAAACTCTTTAGGAGATATTTAAATCTTTATCTGACTGGTTCTTCCAAAGAATTGGCAGCACCATTACAAAGCCAGAACACTAGAAATATATTTCTAACCATTTGCAAATTTAAAAAAGTTCCAAAGTATTGAGTAAATCGTTCCTATTATAGCAGAACAAAGAATAAATAAACCAGGGTCACAGTTGGATTATTTTTACGGTAGCTTTTCATAAGATTTTCATGGACTTGTACCAAATTTAATTAGTTCACATTTGAGTGTTTTCTTCCGGTATTTTCTTTACCATTATCCATCTCATGTTGAGTTTTTTCTGAAGATAATCCTTGCTGACTTTTTTTTTGTTTAGTTTTTTAACCTGAATATGAAAGCATATCCATATAGCTTCCAAATGCAAAATATCAACCAGTTAAAATGGTGCCCCAACTGTATAATAGCACTTCTCTTTCTTACAAATTGGAAATGCAATGCAATGCATGACATACACTGCATGCAATGTATATTGTTTAAATATTGAATTAGGCTAATTAGTGCTGAGATTAATAGTCTATCACAAAGCATTCAAACCTTTTGTATAAGGTCAGTGAATGTGGATTTTCAATTTCCTTTTTTTTATTCTGTCTTCAAAAACAATATTATTAAGTTAATGCTCCATGACCTTGTTCATGTCAGAATTGGCTCAAAGGTTAATGTTGTGTGCTCCCAAAGTTGACAAGAACAATTGGATTATGTTTTCGTAATGCTATCAGTGGCTTCCACTGTATTAGAAGAGCGGTAGATTTACTAGATATCCTAAAAAACTGGGAAAATGTTTATTCATGCTGCTAATCATTAAAGAAAAAAAAGTTTGAGCATGGAGTTTTTTAGACAAGCTAAATAAAAGGAATCCTGATGATTATGAAGCCCTGTCATGTGTGTTCTCTCCGTGCTGCATCACCCCTGTGGGTGTGTGTGATCTGTGAGTGAGTAAAGAGTGAAGAAGATTGAGGAAGGAGGGAGGGGGGAGGGAGGGGGGCCTCTTGTGAGGTGAGACGTGTAAGCCTGCTGCTTGTGGCAGAGTTAACTGGGATTAGGACATGTATATGGGACATGGTATAAGGCCTTGTTAGTGGGACCCTTCGTGCCTCCACTTTACACCATCTGTCCAAACAGCACAGGCCTGCCCTCGCCTCTGTCACTCTCTCATTCGCTGCCCTGCCTGTTTGCATTCTCTCAATTTTACTCAAGAATAA